GTGCAGAATGAAAGTCTGTATTTTCACAGAGGTGGTTCTGACAAATCTCAGTGAGAAAGTGCATGATACAGTTTATATATCTACACAGGGAATTAAAATAAAGATAAAAACCTATCTGTGTTCAGACAGTCAAATCACTTTCAAAGCGGCATAAATGTACCCTGTTTTGTGAGCTCTTTCCTGTTTCCTGATATAAAATGCTATGAGACGAACATGGAGGGACAGAGGACCTTGCCTCTGCGGTGGTCTGAATGTCTGCCCCCTCCCAAACTTGTGCTGAAATTTAATTGGCGTTGTAACAATATGAAGAGATGATCGGACCATGAGGGCATCACCCTCCTTGGGTGGATTTAGTGCCCTTCCATTCTCCACTGTACCAGGCTCTGCTGCAATCGTAAGTGAAAGCTCATCAGTGTCTGTTCCCTTATTACCTTGGTGTGCAAAATGATCTTGAAACCAACTAACTACTGGCTCACTAGAATAATATAGATCAGAAATCTGTTACGATAGCTAAATTTCTAGGCTAGCAGGTGCTCACACTTGTTATTCTAGCTACTCGGTGAGGCTGAGATCAAGAGAATCACAGTTTGAAGCTAGCTGGGGCAAAAAGCTCATAAGACTCCCTAATCTTAACCAACAAAAGGTGGGTGTGGTGGAGTGCAAGTGTCATCCCATAAGAAAAGTAAATAGAAGAACCACCGTACAGGATGCTAGGCAAAACCCATGACTATCTCAAAAAATATACAGAGCAAAAAAGGGGCTTAGGTGTGGCTTAAGTGACACAGTATCTATCTAGCAATTATAAGGTGTTAAGTACAAATCTCAGTACCAACACCACCAAAAAGAGATCACTACATTTCTAATCAATGTAACCTATTTCCAGATGATCGTAATCATCCACAAGTCAATATCTAAAGTACCATTTTACCAAAGAGAATTCGTCCCTCTCTCTAAGACAGTTTCCAAAACAGGAATGAAACTTGCTTGTATCCTACATTAGATAAGATAGGGAAATATTGGGTCTCAAATCTTTGATTTGCTTTTTCTTTGTGTGCTGAAGAGGGAACCCAGGGCCTTATGTATACCAGGCAAGCACCCTACTATTGAGTTATATCGCCTCACTCCTGAAGCTTTAGAATTCTTAATCCAACTCATAAAGGGCTGTGATATTCAGAGTACGCCTGGGAAGTTCTGAGCTCTAGAGACCAGATTTTGCCTTATATAAGTGACCATTGCCACACAGGCAACAGAAGCCTGTTCTGTGAGCAAAATGCACAGGTGTGACATGAACTCTACAGCAAGGCTAATGGTATTCAGCTTTGATCCCAAGTAGTTATGCTTTGTTGAGCTTTTTAAGAATCAAATAGCTCATACAGATCTGGCAGCATCTTTCCGGAGACTAGTTCCAAGGCAAGCGCGGGAAATGGCAAGTGCAAGCCTGAATCAGATCACAGGAGTTAGGATTTCCTAGGGACTTAGTTTAAGATGTCGCTGATTTGTACTTTACCCTCAACTCTCCTGGGCTGTTTTGTTACTAGCATCTTATGCAATGATCTCAGTCACCAGCTGGGAAAATAATTACAATGACAAGGAAAAAGTGGCCACTGCACACTTCTAGGGTGCCCAGGTCCCTGAGACCCCTTGTTTGTTTCTATTTCTCATGCTTGCCATACCAACCTGTCATGCTGTTCTAGTAACAAAAATAATCAAGAATATCAGGCAGACTTTTGAACATAATGCAGAGTTGAACTAGCTACTACCTGATGAGGCAGAGACAGAGACACAGAGAGAGAGAGAGAGAGAGAGAGACAGAGACACAGAGAGAAACACAGAGAGGATGAGACACACCCTTCCAAGGCACATCTAGTGACCTACTTCCTCCAATGGCTCCGTTTTCTAACAGCCCATTTACACAGGCTATTCTATTGATGAGGTTAGTACCCTCAAGATCTCATGACTTTTCAATGTGACACCAGCTGGGGACCAAGTCTTTTGGGAAGATGCTTCACATTCAAAGCCTAACCAACAATCAATGTCGTCAGAGGACTAGTTTTTGCTTTATTGAGGTTCTTCACAATAGAGATTAGTTATTAAAACAAACTAAAATAATAAGCACTTTCTAATAACTCAGAATTCATTATTAAGTAAAAAAAAAGTTGTTTCCAAGTTTCTTTTATAATTATTGATACTTAAAGATCTAAAATTTCCTCAAAACAAACTAGAAACCATCAATCAATAAAACCCAAAAGATATCAAGTTCTGTTTATATAGCTGTAAAACTCCAACTCTAAAAGCTTTTGACTCATCAGAGTCAAAAGGGCACATTTTTCTATGCTAATAAAGTTGGTCCCAGAGAACACATTTGAATTTATTTCTGATCCTGAACTAAAAGATCCAAGAAGAGCCAGGTGCCTGTGGCTCATGCCTATAATCTTAGCTACTCAGGAGGCTGAGATCTGAGGATCAAGGTTCAAAGCCAGCCTGGGCAGGAAAGTTGGTGAGACTCCTATCTCCAATTAACTACCAGAAAACTGGAAGTGGCACTGTGGTTCAAGTGGTAAAGCACTTGCTTTGAGCTGAAGAGCTCAGGGACAGCACCCATGCCCAAAGTTCAAGACCCAGGACTGACAAAACAAAAACAAAAACAAAATAAAAAACAAACAACAAAAAGACCCAAGAGGAGGCACAGGTGGCTCATTCCTGAAATCGTAGCTACTCAAGAGGATTGTGGTTTGAAGCCAGCCCAAACAAGAAAGTTCAAGCTCCAGTAAAAGACCCAGAAAGATTTTTTTTTTTCTTGTTTTGGCCGGTCATGGGGCCTGACCTCTGGGCCTGGGCACTGTCCCTCAGCTCTTCAGCTCAAGCTAGTGCTCTACCACTTGAGCCATAGCGCCACTTCTGGCTTTTTTTTTCTGGTGATGTGGTGCTGAGGAATTGAACCCAGGGCCTCATGCATGCAAGGCAAGCACTCTACCACTGAGCCACCTTCCCAGCCCCCCAGAAAGACTCTTATCAAGGTTACAAACAGTATAACAATAAAATTGTATTTTAAAAAGAATGTAATAGTATATCCTTCCATTTTGTGAAGTCACAGTCTTCTGTGGGCCAACTCTCTGGTAGGCTCTTAGTCAAAGAACTTTCGGTGACTGGCATTTATCTGGGCCTGCACTAATACAGCGTTCTGAGCCTATCGGTTCTCTCCAAGTGTAAATGCTCTACCTGCTCATAACATTTTCCCCAGAAGAGATCAGTCTTACAGGTCTGGCATACCTGGGTCACCTCCTTTCTCATGTCAGATCAAATACGAGCCTGCATTCAACTCTAAACAAGCAAGATAACATTCCCTAAAATGCTAGTATGTGTGAAGACTTCCTTCTGTGAGGTAGAACAGAGACAGGTTTTTTTTGTTTTTTTGTCTGTTTGTTTTTGTTTTTTGGGGTGCATTACTGGGGAATGAACTCGGGGCCTTTCCCTCATGCTAGGCAAGAGCTCTACCACAAGATCCACACCTTCAGCCCTCTTGTTTATTTTTTTTAGATAGAGTCTTGCTAACTTTTGTGCGGGTTAGCTTTGAACTTGCAATCCTCCTGCCTCCATTGCCAGAGTAGCTGGGATTATAAGCATGAGTCACCGTACCCAGCTACATAGTAATATGCTTTGTTGCTTAGAGCTCCTGTAAAAATTACTGATATCCATTTGATTCTTGAAATTCATTATTAAATTTCTGAGTTCCACTTAGTAATGTTACCACTAGTTAAATGACTTAAATGTTCCCAATAGTATTGTAACTAGAAGATTAAAAAGAAATTTATGTGGTGCTGGAAATATGGCTTAGTGGTAGAGTGCTTGCCTAGCATGCATGAAGCCCTGGGTTCGACTCCTCAGTACCACATAAACAGAAAAAGCCGGAAGTGGCCCTGTGGCTCAAGTGGTAGAGTGCTAGCCTTGAGCAAAAGAAACTCAAGGACAGTGGCCAGGCCCTGAGTTCAAGCCCCAAGACTGGCAAAAAAAAAAGAAAGAAAAAAGAAAAAGAAAAAGAAGTTTATGTTATAAACATTTTCTATTAGTTCAAGGATACTCATGGATTCCATTTCAGATTCCTACCCAAAGAGGTTGAAAGAAAGTAATATTTCAGCATGTATAATATTTTAGCTATAGGAAAAGTTCTATTTATAGATTACATATGGATGTGAATATACATTCCTATGCCAAAATACAAATACTAATCCTGGGAAAATAAGTCAATTTAATATTTTGCAGATTTAAAAATTCAGTAGTATTAGGTGACAGAATATTAGAAACAATTCTTTTTTTAAAACTTTGGGCCTGGGTGTTGTCCTTCTGCTCTTCAGCTCAAGGCAAGCGCTCTACCACTTGAGCCACAGCACAGCTTCCAGAAACAGTCCTTTTTAAGGAGTCTACTTTTGCTGGGCATGGTGGTACATCCCTGAACTCCTTTCACTTTGGAGACTGAGGTAGGAGCATTGAAAATTTAAGGTCAACTTGAGCTACATGGTGTGACCTGGTCAAAAGAAAAATAAATTCCACAAACTCTGTTTTTTAAAATCAGTCATTTTTTTATATTATTTTGTGTAAATGTTTATAGGGTGAAATGGAGAGAGAATGCCAAGAGGTTATGACCTCGAAATTAGGAAAGAAAGAGGAAAGCCAGGAGCATTAAAACCAGTAATGTAGTTAGAATCAGTGGGGCTAATGAGTCCAGAGGGTTAGTCATCGAACATTCAAAGATACTATGTCATTCGCTGAGCCAGAGGAAATGCTGAGGAGGAATGCCACACTTCCTTCCTGCAGGTGTGTAAATGGGGTGTCTTATCTACTGCCTGGTGGTGGCAATGTTTTAGCAATATTCCAGGTTTAAAAAAATGCCCTCCAACTGTGGGGAAGGGCATGTTGCAAGGCCTAGAATACAGATGCAAAGAGGAATGAGCTGGGAACCTCCCACATGGAAGGCTGAACCAGGATGAGCACTGGAGGTGTACCTGCTTCTCGGCTTGTTTCAGCAGCTTCTGGAATCGCTCGTCCTCCAGCACACCGGGGGGAAGGTCCGTCTCTCCCTGAGCTTTCAGCTCCTCCAGCTTTTGCCGTAAGTCCCTCAGGGCCTGCAGCTCGTCGTTGAGGCGGCTCTGGCGGGTGAGAGAGGCCTGAAGGTCCAGTTCTAGGTCAAGAGATGTGCGCACAGGACATTCTTGGGCTGTCCTTCTGAGGACTGGCTGGCAAACCGTCTGGAGGAGTAGAAAACACAATACCCTTGTTACGTATGTAGGCATTATCCTGCCTGTTCTTGCTAGCAAAAGATGGGACTGGTTTTCCTTGCTTCCTAGGAGGGTATAACCACACCCTGAGGCTTGTTCTGGTCACCATACAAGGTGAGCAGGAGAGGTATGTATCACTTTCAGGCACAGGCCTGTAAAAACTCAGGAGAGATCTGCACATTTCTGTCTCCACCTCAAATGACAGCAAAGAACCAGACATGGAAGCTCTACCTCTGACTGAGATATGTTTCAAAGACTTTGAAGAATGGTATAAGACAGTAAGCAACCTGTAAACTGTGAATCTTAAGTGCCACAAGAAGTCAGATGAAGGACAGGTCAGAACCAAACCAGGCTGGGTAAGAAGGCATCAGTACAGACTACAGGAAGTATTTCTTGCCTATATTCTCAGCAGTGGGAGTGGAAAAGAAAAGATTCCTGGCTGGGATGGTGGCTCAGTGGTAGAGCGCTTGCCTTGCATGCCTGAGGCTCTGGGTTCGATTCCTCAGCACCACATAAGCAAAAAGAAAAAAGCTGGAAGTGACACTGTTGCTCAAGTGGTAGAGCGCTAGCCTTGAGCTGAAGAGCTGAGGGACAGCGCTCAGGCCCAGAGTTCAGGCCCCACAACCGGACCCAAAAACAAACAAACAAACAAAAACAAAGAAGAGATTCCTCAAAGGAATTGGTACTCTGTGAGGGGAGAGAGGGGGACCTCACATATGGTAAGTGGTCTAGTTTAAAGATCTGGGTCAAGTGTGGAGCTCATGACAGACAGAAGGGAAAAGGCCCACTTGAGCCTGTCCTTTATTTCAGGGCCTTAGCCCAAGTTGGGATAGCTTTGACTGTGTCCTCCTAGCCTTTTATCTCTTTGTAACAACTTGATGTTTGCTAAATAATTAGGCTTCTGTAACACATTTGAACCACAGCTCTAATTTGGCTTTTTGGTAGTTAATTTGGAGATAAGAGCCTCAAGGGTTTTCCTGCCCTAGCTGGTTTGAACCACTATCTTCAGATCTCAGCCTCCTAAGCAGCTAGGATTACAGGCATGAGCCACCGGCACCCAGCCATGCAGTCTTTCTAATGTGCAGTGGTGTGCTGGTATATGTCTAATAATATCTTCAAAGTATTCATGTAATATCACTGACATGAAAAGACATGCACAACTGATTCTTGTGAGCCGGATGAAGAGGTCCAGCACCCCAAGGCCAAGGGCATAAATCCCTAATCCTGCCTCCTACTTGGGTGCATCTTGCACTGTGTTTTGCCGATGCTTTATTCTCTTAGTCTCCCTACACTATTTTCATACTGCAGTTCCTATCAGAATTTACTCTCTGCTCATTTCCATACCTGCTTCCTTAAAAACAATTTAAAATTCATAATTTACGCAGTGTTTCGGGATTAACCTCTGTCTGGTTTTAAGTATGTCTATGAACTTAGTTTATAAGTAACCTGCATGTTTTCAGCTTCACTTAGCTCAGCAACACTTCTGGTTAAAATGTCTCTAAAGTAGGAAGACAAGTGACTTAGAAAGGCGGTAAGAAGAATTTTCATTCTAGGTGATGGAAATTTTGATGCTTTCAAGCACATTAAGTGTGGAAATCTGAAAGATTTACACTGTATATTTTCCTAGAAATGCTCAATGCTAAATAAATGTGAGCATATTGACCTTCAAGTTATATATATATATCATATATATATATATATATGATATATATGATATATATCTAGTTACAGTTATTTATTAATTTATTTTTGGTACCAGTCCTGAGGCTTAAACTCCTGGGGCTTGGTTGCTGTCCCTGAGCTTTTGTGCTTAAGGGTAAGGCTCTACTACTTGAGCCACAGCTCCACTTCTGGCTTTTTCTTTTTTGATACGCATCTCATTTGGACTTTCCTCCCTGGGCTGGCTTGAACCTTGATACTCAGATCTCAGTCTCCTAAGTAGCTAGGATTACAGGCACAAGCCACTGGCATCAGCTAGGAGTTATGTTTTTATTACCTTCAGGTAAGTAGGAAGTTAAACCAAGGGGCCGTTATCTAGTTGTGTGTTTAGTACTTTGCACATGGTGCTGCTAGAAATGATGAATGCAGCTCACCTTCCCAGGTCCCTCCCAAGCTGCCCTGTGTGGTTCCCTGTTCATGTATTTCAGAGTACCTAATGCTTGCTTATCACTTCCCCATACCACCCACCTATGAATTGCTCTACAGCTACCATTTTCCCTCTGACATGTTAGCCAGGGGTCAAGGCCCAAACTGCCCCGATGCCTCTGACTCTTCTGCACACATCTGGGCCCCTCCTCCGGATGATGGACTCCTGTTGGCAGCCAACTCACTATCGACAGAGTTCAGCACACCGTGTTCTATGCTTATCGAGTAACATATCTTAAGCCAGAATGGGAATAGCAAACAAATAGTTTTCTTTTAGTATTTCAGCTGGTGGAAGTAAACGGGAATTTGTGAGCCATCTGAACTGTCCAACCTTTTAAATATTTTATCAGACTTTCCCTTCAAGACCATCTAGAGGTTGCTGGCCTCCAGGAACACTTGACCCACTCAACAGTAACTTTAACCTTCTATGAATAACTGTTTAAGCAAGTTACAACATCTGCGCTAAAAAATAATAAGGAAAAATAGAAACACATGACCTCTGTAATTGTCACTCTGAGGAACGCTTGCTTGGGGAGGTGCCAGGCTTCCCACTCCTCCCACACTGAACCAGATGTGATGCAGAGAGAGTGCAGCCACTGTTGGAAATGTGTTCAAACTAAAGTTCTGTTTCTAAAAAGGAGTACCAGGAAATGGAAACAAGTTGTTTTTTTTTGGGGGGGGGGGTACAGGAATGGAGGGAGGAAGGGTATATAAATGCAGTTAGTGTATTCAGTGTACACAATGTAAAAAATAAACTAAGTAACATGTGGGTAGGGATGGAAGGGGGGGAGGGGGGAGAACAAAGGAAGGGGTGACACTGTCCAGGAAGCAATGTAGTCATAACCTGATTTATGCAATTGTAATACCTTTGCATAACTACTTAATATTCACAACTTCTAAAAAGAAAAAAGCAATGTGTTCAAACCACTGGCACACTAAGAGGCTTAGTATGCCCCTTCTTTGGAGACCCTGTACTCTAATTTCTAGCCTTAAATATCACAAGTTCTAAACCAGCCTTTCAAGTACATCCTCTCCCTGGATCCCCAATTGACTTAGCATCAGTATTTTTGTATGACTATACTGTCTGACAGCAAGGAGCATTCATATGCAATTGTTCTGGAATTTACTCTTGGCAATTTATGAATCTGGATGGGTCTGGGATGGTGTGAGGTGACTGAGGACGTACATACCCTTTTGACACGCAGGCTACGCCGCTCAGTGGAGTTTCTCACAAACAGTGATTTTTTAGCCAATGTGGAACTGTCACTGTCACTCCGATTTAACTGTCAACAAAGATTTTTAAAAAGGTCACTGTATAAGAGAGTACCAGTGGAAATGAGAATCAAGAGGTTTACCAAATAAATAAGTACATATAATATAAACTAATCCCCCACCACCACTAAGCTACATCCTCAGCTCATGACTTAATTTTTACTTGAAGAAAATCCTCCCCAAATACATTATTCCCAGTTCTACAGTTTAGTAGCTTTTTTTCTGGAAAACGTTTCAGTAACCGCCTTTTGATAGTTATCCAAAGTGCTATGTTATTATATATTGTTTAAAATAAAATGATGCTTTGTACTTTTAACTAGTACTTGTTTGTTTAAAGAAGGTTTACATAGCTCACCTTCAGAGTTAAGACAGTTTAGCTCTCTGATTGAGGGAGCCCATGTTCACCCCTATGCTCAATGTCATATTATGAAGGAAGCCTCTTCTGGGCTCTACTTCCCATTCTCAACTCCTTAACTTGTGCTACTGTCTTCCACAGCCTTGATTCTCACCCAAGATATGTCCCATTACATCCATCGTATCTATCCATCATATTCCTGGCTCACTGAAAAGAATGAAAGTTCTACAAGGTGCAGAAATGAAAAGTATCTACAAATATTTTTGACTAGAATGAATAAATTCGGATTTTTAAAAGCATCTCTAACCCATTTATGAAATCTATCTCACTATATATCATAAATACTTCTAGAAACAGAATTTGGAAAACAATGGAAATCCCACGGAGCTATGAGCCTGATTGGGTCCAGAGTTATTTAAACAGAATTTCTGTTTTAAAATCCAATTTGTAAGTTTCATTTCAGCAAAATGAACATGTTGTGAAGTACATATGATATTGAGCAAAAGTAGGCAAAACAGACTTGAAGCTGTAATGTTTCTAAACATAAAAATCCAAAAAATTCTTAGTGCTGAGATCTTAAATTCCACTTACTTGCCAAATCAATAACATTAGAACCAACAGGACATGAAATTGGTGGAAACAGAAACCAACAAGAACCCTCAGCGTGTGATACTCTATACACGTATTTCCAAGCATTTTCAGCCACCGTGTCTGTAGTCAGATTGTCCTATGGACAATCTCTTCCTATGAACGGGCCACTTATGATAGGACAGGCAGCTATAGCTCCTAGTGCCTCAGCTGAGTACTGTCACCTTACCCTGCAGACGTACTGGCTCCGTTCACCCGGGGAAAAGGTTTGCGAGCGCACGATCACGCTGCTCCTTACGAAGGGATGCTGTCGAGAGCTCAGGCTGCTCCGCTCTTTGGGACGAACTGCCACGCTGTCATGAACTGCTTCATCAGTATTTGTCTCTTTATCAACCTAAAAGAGAAGGTGGCAAGTTTTCTGGAACTGAGAGTTGTGTGTACATTTATACTCCTTTCCTAATGATGCTAAACAGGAACTTGTCTAGCACTGAGGATGTCCCTATGAGAAAGACATGCATAATAGAACACAGTACTTCTGAGGAGAAATGGGAGAATGGTGTTCTACGTTATTCTCAGAAAGTAAGTAGGTAGGATGATAGCTGTTCAACGAGGGTAAAGCACAAATAGAGGTGTTACAGTAATAGGTAGGATGTAAAATGAAGATTTAGACTTAAATAGGTTCTACAAAGAATGCTATTTGGGAAAATATCATCATTAAACAGTATTTAATTTTCAGGTGAGTTTTGTTTTCCAAGAATAAATGATTTTAAATAATAAATATTGCATGGCATGGTGGTGTATTTCTGCATTCTCAGCTACAGGAGGTAAAGGCAGGAGAATGGAGAATTTAGGACTAGGATAATGTGGCCCAAGTAAGAAAGCCTTTGCCTAGCATGTAGCATGCTAGGTTTAATCCCTAGTAGCATTTGCACATGCTAGTATACCCAATACATGTGCACATGCGTGCACCTCCCATCCAAGAATAAAACCAAAGGACTGGCATTTTTAAAATTCCATTACCAACATCCTGTGTGTCGGCATCCTCAAAGCTTACAGACTTACTCTAAGCTGTTTGGGAATGGCCTCAACACACTCCTCATTTAAGAGAGAAGTTGCTTGTTTTCTAATATGGTTGGTACTAGTGCTTGAACTAAGGTATTCTCCATCTTCACAGATTTCAATCAGAATTCCAACTAATCAAAATCAACTTCAAATGTTTACTTCATTCTTGAAATAAAGTTTGAACCCTGATATAATTTAGTCAAGAAAATTATTCAAGAAATTCAGGAAAACCATTAAAAAAATTTTTTTGATAGGGTCTTACTACAGAGTAGAGGTTGGCTTTGAATCTGTGATTTTGCCTCAACTTTCTAAGTGCTGGGATAACCAGTGTATTATAGGATGCACTACCATGGCGAGTTTTAAAAATATTATTAGTATTCACAGAATGCTGGTAGAAAGTAACTAGCATTGTTTTTCTTCTTTTATCAAGTGAAGAATCAGTATTTTGGGCCCATTTACAATGCTTCTCAGCAACTATCCTTATATAAGCCTTCAACTTTTGGATCAAAATCCTGACACAGCATTACACCTGAAGAGATAAGCATCCTCTTAGTCTACACAGTGCCTAGAAGGTTCTGTTTCAGGGCAGGAGAAGAGCGGAATATTCACCAGGGTGGGAATTCCAGTCGGTGGCTGACTTCTACAGTCTTTGGCACACTCCTTTTCCTTCTGACAGCTATCTTCACTCATCTGCAGCACATTGGTGCTTGAACTTAAGTCTTCTGTACAACTAGTGCCTTTTACCAGTTTAACTGCAGTCTCTTTTTCAGCCACAATTTTGTCAGAGGCCTCTCTTAGCATTGTTAACCTATGTTGAAAAATAAATAAATAAATAAAACACACTTTAAGCCAAGTACTTCACAACCAGTGCAACCTGGGAAATAAACAATAGATTCAAGCTCTTCTTTGGCTCATAAAAAAGAAAAAAAAAAAAGAAAAAAAATTCACAAAATAAATAATCATTTTATGCTCTAGCCACCTGGAGCAAAGTTACCATAGTGTTACTAAAAATTTAAGACTTAAGAAATCTGACCTAATTTCTAGATGTTAAAATAGAAGCATTATTAAAATCACAAATAAAGTTAACCTCAGCACTTAAAAATACTGATTTCTTTTAAACTCAACTTCATGTGAGCTATTAATTTACTATAAAATAAACCATAGAAGAGAATGGCTTACTCTCAGCTAAGAGTGAATAAACACCTAGAGATAAAAACACCATTACTGACTGTGCTCACAATCTAGCAGAGGCAGCCCTACATAGAAGGAGTTACTACTAATCACCTGAAGATCCAATGTCACATGGCCCCATCTCTAATAGAAGCCATGGCACAGATTCTGATGGTATTAAGCATGGTGTTTTGAATATGAAGAGTCTATGTTTGGAATATGAAGACAGTGCTGGGATGGTTCAGAATTCCTCATGCTTTGTTGAGTTTCATGCTTGTTGTATAGAAATATTTTCTGCCCACTGATACCTAATGCTGAACCGTGTGTGTTGTGTGGGCATGCGCGCATGTACATTCTGGAGCTTGAACTCATGGCCTGGTACTGTCTCTCAAGGCTAGTGCTGTACCACTTGAGCCACAGCTCCACTTCTGGCTTTTTGGTGATTAACTGGAGATGAGTCTCACAGTCTTTTCTACACAGGCTGCTCTGAACTACAATCCTCAGATATCAGCCTCCTGAGTAAGTAGGATTATAGGCGAAAGCCATTGGCACCTGGTCTAACTGCTGAACTTGAACTGCAATTGGTGGCATATAGACAAAAATGGTACCATCTAGTTTCATTAAATGTCTGGCCATGAAACAAGGGGAAAAAAGCAATGATTAAGTTATAAGTTCTTTTATTTACATGCTAAGAATTTTTCTGAAATATGTGTGAAATAAGTTGTATTTTACAAACATGAAAAAAGCTTAGTATTTAAAGACACTGTGAGACCTTATAAATCACTCTCATAATTTTGTTCTGCAGTGCTGTTATTATTTATTATCTAGGACTTTTGATATGCCAAAAGTCTCTGTATATTTTTATCACTATTGTAGACCTTTTTTCTACATGTTCATGATTGGTTATTTATGATAAACTCTGGGCTTCTAACAAGTTTAATGTATGCATATTTACATATACACAAAAGATTAATATATGGGTTAAGAGTAGCTCAATCAAACATTATAAGTAACTATATATAGCAAGATTAATCCCAATAAATTACACACTGTATGTACTTAAAACCTGAAGCATTCATTAGAATTTGATTTTACAAAATAGTGCAAACCAGGAACGACAGATCTCTGTATGTATGTATGTCTGTATGTCTATATGTATGTGTACACACACACACACACACACACACACACACACACACACACACATTAGTCTGGATTTTTTTTTTTTTAAAGGGTAAAGTATTGACACAGAGGAGGAAGCAAGAAAAGATAAAAGTATTGAAATGTCTTTTTGAAGCTACTTTCTGTGTCATACCACCACCTAAATGAACTCATAAAGAAAAAGAGAGCCAGTTATAACTTACTTATGACTATACAATAAGCTACCATATTTTTCAAAATTGACAGCTTAGTTTTACCTTAGAAAACATTGTTAAAAATTACTTGAAGAATAAAAAATCTGGTTAATGTGTTACTTTGTTCACAATCTTGCTATTACCTCCTGTAACTCTCTAGCCACAACTCTTTGAAACTACATTGTTTCTCATAATTCCAGTGCTAAGACATGAAACTATAATCGTTTCCTGAAAGTTTCCCATGAGAAACTAAACACCTTAATGTGTTCTCACTAGCAAAAGAAAGCAGCTGTTTACCAATCTCCTTCTAGATCCTGTTGCTCTTCTGCTGGCCCTGTTTCCTCCTCTTCTTCTTGTGCTAATTCTTGTTCCACAGCCAATAGCTCGGCTGATGTTCTTGCAAGTAAGGCTGACACTGCATCCTGAAGAATATAAAACACATGGCAATTAATATCATATACTCCAAGAAACTTATTTGAAATTTCTTCAGAGGCAGGCTGATACTTCCAGCTGTGAAGAAGCAGCTTGTACCAGACCCAACTCTCTTACAGGAGGATACAAAAGCTGAATGAAATATAACAAAAAGTAATAAATACTCCCAAATTTTGTGAAGCAATGCGGAGTGACCAAGGTTATCAGTACTAGAAGGTTAATGCCCAGAGAGAAGAGAACCATCACAATTGACACACTGGCATTTGTCAATTCTAGGCATGAAGTACGTAGGCTAAAGAGTCTGGCTGCCTCGGACTGCAGCCACAGGGTCAGTCAGATATCTGAGAGGATTGTCACCAAGTGCAAGACTTCAAGGCAGTCCAAGGGTCAGAGGAAATGAAGTGTAAGGTGAGCCCAATATTATACATGAGAATCCTACTAAGGCATGTGCATCTCCTGAACTGCAAAACAAAAAGCCTCAAACAGTTAAGGAGATATTTCTTCTGTCTCCTAGGGTCTTGGAGAGATAAAAATTGGAAATCTAGTCCCCCAGATGATTCAGGTCATTGTCTCAAACTCAAACTTGACTTCCAGAAGCATGTCTACGGAAGAAATGTGCCATCCAGAGCCTCTACCTTCCCTCATACTAGCTGGCATTCCATCAAGACTTGACAGAAAGCCAAAAGAAATGACAAAAGAGGCAGACCCATAGGTGATGTGTACACTGTAGATTTTTGGAGATGGTATTTAAATGTTTACAATTAATAGGCTTTTAAAAAACCTACCAAAATGATAGAAAACTTCACTAGCATAAACACAAGGAAAACCGCATTCATTTGTGAGAATAAAGTTCCTGGGGGAAAAAAATCATAGGAAAAAAATCTAAAAAAGTATCGAAAGATTATTTTCCGCCGGGCGCTGGTGGCTCACACCTGTAATCCTAGCTACTCAGGAGGCTGAGATCTGAGGATCGCGGTTCAAAGCCAGCCTGGGCAGGAGAGACTGTGAGACTCCTATCTCCAATAAACTACCAGAAAACCGGAAGTGGCGCTGTAGCTCAAGAGGTAGAGCGCTCGCCTTGAGCTGAAGAGCTGAGGGACAGCGCCCAGGCCGAGTTCAAGCCCCACGACCGACCAAAAAAAAAAAGATTATTTTCCAAGAACCAGAAGTTAAAATTGTTTTTCAGTAGCTCAACAGAATCAATGAAAACCAGATGACAGAAAGTGGTATCTATAACACGTTCATGGAACACCTGCCCACCTATAAAACTGAATAAATGGTCAAAATCCTTGTCCTTCACAAGTGAAGCTAAAATTGATACCAACACAACTGAGAGGAATACTAAAGGGAATTGTTCAGCAGAAGGTATATGACCCACGCAGAAGTACAGCAATTCAGAAAGGAAAGAAACTCCATTAGATATGGGAAAGATGTGGGAATACCTGACTACTGATTGTCAGTGAAATATTGGTAATAATGTCTTACGGGATTCGAACTTTAATCCCTACAATATAATGTAATAATCACAACAAAGAAGTTAAAATTCGTGAACTACTGAAGTAAAGGAATTCGTTGACATTAGTTTCTACTAAGAATTCATGCTGTTATCTCCATGGAAACAAAACAATATATAAAGCAGTCCTGCCTTATCCATGGTTATGCTTGCTATAGTTTTGGTTACCTGTTACCAACCAATCCAAGAAATAGTAAATGGAAAATTCCAGAACTGAGCAACTCATGAACTGTAGGGTGTGAACTCTCTTACTATTTTATTCTGTCCTGTAGAAAATGGATTCTCTTTTGTCCGGTGTATATGCTACCTGCTCATTAGTTACATGGTATTCCTCTCAGGTATAAGATAGAGTGCTGTAGATACACAGAGCCTATGTTCAAATAACTCTTTATGTAGTTTAAAATGCCTCTAGATAAGAGTAGTAATGCTGGCAATATAGATATGTCAAAGACAAGTGATAAAAGGTTTAAGTAAGTAAGTAAATTTAATAAAGGAAGAAAAAAATCGTATGTGGAATTACTAAGATCTACATTAAGAATAGGATAAAAATGCAATCAAATGCATTTATGCAACACCACCACAAATCAATGAGATCTGATAAACACCTATAGAAAATACACAGTAGACTGTATTTTTCTCTAGTGCATGAAACTAGCTTCAATAAATTCAAAAGGACTTAAATCTTACCAAGTATATGTTTTGGTATACTGAAGTAAAACAAATGAGACGTTAACAAATGTGTGAAAATATTCCTACTCTAAATTGCAAAAAAATAAGAAAGAAAGGGAGGAGGAAAGTTGCTAAAGTAGTGCTTAGAGGGAAAAGTTATAGCTGTAAACAGTTATATTAAAAAAGGAAGAAAGGCAGCTGAGCACAAATGGCTAATGCCTGTAATCCTAGCTACTTAGGAGGCTGAGATCTGACGGTTGCAGTTAAAAGTCAGCCCTGGCAAGGAAGTCCAGAGATACTTATCTCCAATTAACTACCAAAAAGCCCGAAGTGAAGCTGTAGATGAAGTAGAGCATTTAGCCTTAAGTGCAGAGACACTTATCTCCAATTAACTACCAAAAAGCCAGAAGTAAAGTTGTAGCTGAAGTAGAGCATTTAGCCTTAAGTGAAAAAGCTCAGAGATAGCACCCAGGCCCTGAGTTCAAGCCCCAGGACTGGCACAAAAGGAGGAAGAGGATAACAAGAAAGGGGACATCTTAGAAGAGGAGAAAATGTGGAAAGAGAAAACTAAACCAAAAGCAATTAGAAGAAAAGAAAGGAAGAGGGCATATCTATTAACTTTACCATGCGATAATATTATGAAATTGTAAATCAACAAATTAGGTATCTGGCTTTAATGGACAAATTCTTTAAGAGACAAGTATAGAAACTGACTTGAGAACAACATTTTTGAGAGATTCAGATCAGTAATGAGACTGAGTTTGTAAACAAAAAGACTTTAAGCAAGAAAAAGTCCAGACCCAGTGAGTGGGCTTCACTTGAATACAAAACATTTAATTAATATACTACCAATTTTCCAAACTTCTCCAAAAGGTTTAGAAAGGAAGAAAATGGTTCTTAACTCATTTCATGAGGCCAGAATTATCCTGCTGTCAAAAACCAGAGCCAAAGACATTGCAAAGAAAAGAAACTACAGACACAAATGCTCAACAATATTAGCAAACTGAATTACAAACACACAACAAATACACACCAAACCAAGTTGGATTTATCCTAGGAATGGAAGAGTCATTTAACATCTGTATCACTTGAATGAAAGACAAGAACCACATGACCACCTTAGTAGATGTAGAAAAAAGATCCAACAGCTTATTTTAATGATGAAAAACTCAGTATACTATGAAAAGGTTATTTCAGTCTGAAAAAAGGTTATCTATGAAAAACTCACAGCAAAAACTAATAGTGAAAAATTCCTCCCTAAATCAGAAACAAGAGAAGAGTATCTCTCTGAACTATTTAATTTCAGTATTGTATTGGAAATTCTATACAGGGCTAATATGAAAAAAAAAAAAAAAAAAACCACAAAAAAGAATTAAATGTACAAAGTTAGAAATGAGGAAGTAAAATTATCTCTACTTGCAAAATATCCTAAGAACTCCACTGAAACCAACTCAAAATAAGAAACAAGTTCTTAATTTGAAGGTTATAGGATACAAGATAAACAGGCAATCAGTACAATGAACCATCTGTAAATGCAATTAATAAAAAGTCTCACAAAAGTATCATATAGGAAAAAATACTTAGGAATTAGCTTAAAAGGAGCAATGAAAATTTGGACTCTGAAAACATGGGTGAAATAAGTTAGGAAAAACTGAAATAAATGAACAGAATATCCTACATACATGGATGAGAAAACCGTGAAAAATGTTAGGATGACCATATCCTCTCGGATAATGTACAAGTTCAATGCTAGCCCTATCAAAACATGTGGCTGTTTCAGGACATCTCAATCTGAAAAACAACTACAATCAACAGGACTACAGTATGGCTCAAGTGGTACAGTGGTTACCTAGCAAGTATAAGATCCTGAGTACAATCCCCACTACCACCCCTGAGAAAGAAAGAATGCAAAAGAAGTATCAAATGTATAAACTAACAGCAGAAACCAAATATGTGAACACAATATACAAAAATATAAATTCAAATCAAAAGGTTGTCTATGATAATTGAAAACAATGAAGGCAGTACACAGTGATCCTTTTGTAAATCATATTTGAAGCAAAGGTGGAAACTATCTTTCTTTTTTCCTTTGGAATCAAAGGCTAAAGGAGAAAAGGAAGATGAAAGTACACAAAAGCCTGCTGGTCTGTCAGTACTCTATATTTCATATCACTTTATTATGTTTTAATGATTTTGTTCTCTAAATTCTGACTCACCAAGTCTATGGAATCTACCACCGGCTGGTTTGATTGGAATACAGAGTCTTCGTTTTCTTCTTCATTCTTTTTACAAGGCATTTGCTTGGAAGGAAGCAAATTATACCACAGTGTGAAAATCTCATTGGAAAATGGCAAGTCAGCCAGGCTAATTTGAGTTCCAGCCTATGGGAAATAAGAAAATGAAGGAAAGACAATCAAAAACAAAAACAGAGAGAGAAATAAAATGGTTAAGTTAGTATTTATTCCTTTTGATATGATAAAGATTGTTGGGTAAGTCTGACTTTGAGTAGGAATAATATGATACTCATAAAATGTTTTCTATTTTTAGCTCTGACTCAATAATGATAACCAATCCAAAAACCAATTCTAGGATTATTGCATAGCATGATTTTGACATTTTATGATTAAGTATGCAACTTATTTTTAGAAATATGGGAATATATTTTTAATTAAGTTTACTTTTTTGGCCACTCCTGGGGCTTGAACTCAAGGCCTGGGCACTGTCCCTGAGCTTCTTTTGCTTTTTTTTTGGGGTCCGGTAGTGGGGCCTGAACTCTGGGCCTGGGCGCTGTCCCTCAGCTCTTCAGCTCAAGGCTAGCACGCTACCACTTGAGCATAGCACCACTTCCGGCTTTTTTTTTTCCTGCTTATGTGGTGCTAAGGAATCGAACCCAGGGCCTCATGCATGCAAGGCAAGAGCTCTACCACTGAGCCACCTTCCCAGCCCCGCTTCTTTTGCTTAAGGATAGCACTCTACCATACAAGCCACATCTTTACTTCTGGCTTTTTCTGTTTATGTGGTATTGAGGAATCGAACCCAGGACATTTCATGCATGCTAGGCAAGGACTCTACCACTACGTTTAAAATTTTTTTTTTTTTTTACGTAGCATAACAAGTCTTTGCTTCCTTCTAACTTTATTACCAAATATTACCATACACTTTACTTTTTAGAAAAAACAAGAAGCTGGAAGCAGGGAGCTGATGGCTCACATCTGAAAGCTAAGCTGCTCAAAAGTCTGATATCAGAGGATATAATGATTCAAAGCCAGTTTGGGTAGAAAAGTTTGTGAGAATTTTATCTCTAATTAACCAGCAGAAAGCCAGAAGTGAAGGTCTGTCTCAAGTGGTAGAGTCCTATCCTTGAGTAGAAAAAAAAAAATCTAGGTGAGAGCGTGAGATACTGTGTTCAATCCCTATACTGGCATGCACATGCATATGTGTACCCATACACCATGAAAGAAAAAGGAGAAAACTATCATCCTATTACTCTTGCTCATCATGAAATGTGTTTCCTACTGACCACAGAGAAAAGTTGCGGCGCTTCTTCCTGGAAGCTCCAGGAAAAGAAACTACAAAGGCAGCTATGAACTGTCATGCTTAATTTTAATGTGTAACCGTGAATTACGTGTGGGATGTCTTTTGGATATCTGGCTCCATCATTCATTAGCCGTGTGACCCTGTCTAAGCAGCTCTTTATCTGAAAAGGGGATAATTACCCCTTACACAATCAATCTTTCCCCAGATTGTCCTGAGGATTAAAGGAGATACTATAGACAGAACCTGAGGCACAAGGCGTAGCTTTATGACTAATAAGCACACTCTGTAAGGTGATGGTCATAAAAAGAGATTCTTCGGTGCTCATGGAATAGTAGAAATGGAACACAGCTTTATAGAACATCAGAGTTTATAAGAAGTCTTAAAAAATCTGAAATATGAGAAAGACAAAAAGTTATTCCTTCAGAAAAAAAAAAAAAGTGAAACCACTATTGGTTGTGTCCCAAGGTGTTAGAAGGTCTGGAGTGGTTTCAAGGCTAGCAAGACAGCTAGTAGAAAACATATTCTCACTCAGAACACTGAGCATTGAGTGTTCTATGATGACGGTAACTCTGAAGGCCCCTACCAGGCATTCTTCCCTGCGGTGTTTACTGACGGAACAAAGATCAACTCGCAGTGTCTTCTGCTGCAAGGCTGTTTGGGAAATGGCCACTCTGAACACGTCATTGAACAACACAGATTCTGTTGGTGCATGGACTTTTGTTCGAAACAGACAGCTGACATCCGCTGAGGAGGGAAGGACAGCAACTCTACAATACCTGCCAAGAGCAAGAGCAGAATGAATTTCATAAGCACTTCAATTACAGTGGATTCAGAGCTAAATCAAAGAACTGTGAGTTCATTATCAACCCAAAGTGCTGCTGTATAATGGGTCTGTGTTCAGGTATAGATGCCCTGTTCTTAACCTGCCTTAGTGACTGTACCCCTGAACATGAGACAGCCCAGTCTGCCACTTGCCATGGGACTAAAGCACAGGCACATGATAGGAAAGAGAAGAGGAAGAAGGTCCATGGGGACATGCAGATTAAATATCCTACCTGCCCCAGGGATAGCCAATTCCCAAATATGTAATCTCTGAGTCTGGGAACATGAGAACACACTAAGTAGACACTGGTGACTTATCCTAAAGAATCCTCCTTGTGAGGATTAAACAACAGTTGCCAACGACCACTTCCCAGGAATGGAATGAAATACATTACCCTACTAGAGAAAAGAAAGGCTGCGTAGCAGATTATAACAAGATCTGAAACAGATGCAACAGTAGTTCAAAAATATCATTTTCTAGCACCTTTGCACTCACAGATGTAACAAACTCTTCAGAATCTCCTGCTTTGTAAAATCCAAAGTTACAGAAGAACAGTAACTTCTAATGCTCTTTCTGAGCACCCATTATATATGAAGACGCACAATTCTTGGAAATAGCATGAGGTATTTTCCTTTTAATTTCAGTAAGAGAACAGCATTCAGTCTTTCTCCCTACCCCCATTTCTAGGTTTATATAATTCATATTCTAATTAGAAAAACTGTAAATTCAAATGCAGAACTGGGATGTCATATTATTTTTTATTTTACATCACTATTAATTATAAAATTCAGTATTTAGGGCTGGGAAGGTGGCTCAGTGGTAGAGTGCTTGCCTTGCATGCCTGAGGCCCTGGGTTCGATTCCTCAGCACCACGTAAGCAAAAAGAAAAAAAAGCCGGAAGTGGCGCTGTGGCTCAAGTGGTAGAGCGCTAGCCTTGAGCTGAAGAGCTGAGGGACAGCGCCCAGGCCCAGAGTTCAGGCCCCACGTCTGGACCCCAAAAAAAAAAAAAAAAAAATTCAGTATTTAAAGACCTTGTGGGCCTTGGGTCAATGCTGTTGACTTAAAGCCTTACTAAGATACAGCTTGTTGCCCCTGGGAAGCTGGAAATTCAGCAGAACAATGTCTTTAAAAAAAATTATTCTGTTTTCATGAGGAAACAAGTTTATAGAAAGTTAGAATGGAGGGAAGGAAATTTCTGTTTCTCCAGACTGTAGGAGTAATTTGTATCAGTAACTTAGCCCTTAGTGTCATCTCAAAATGCTTCTGGGTCAAACATGAGCCAGTTTCAGTGATTTCAAGGCAAAGGCAGAGGAGGCTAATCGAGCAGGGGTGCTTTTCTTTTTGCTCTGCTGAAGGAGAGGTCTCTCCACATGGAAATCAGGCAAGCCATACTGTCAATCAACACAAACACCAACTCTGCTTGTTATAATCAACCAAAAATGAAGTTTGAAGTTGGAGGGAACACTTGGGTATATTCTATATGCATTGCTACTTACTGCAGTGTCATTATTTAGGCCAAGGCTTTCACACATGGATTTAGGAAAATGTGGCTAAGTGTTTGGGGGAAAATTCAAATCAGATACACACGTAACTGCACCAATCAAGCCGGGGAGCAGAGGCACATTCCGTACAACCAGCTGGTTGAGGGCTACTATTGTCTTAAGCTATTTTGGGAGTTACCACACCTGCAGAAGGTATTCTGTTCTCCACTCTGAGCTAAATGATTGTGATTGATGGTGTTGAGGTAGAAAACTGGGCAACCTCACAAAATGAGTTCTTGGGGGTATCCTGTGGTTTTCTACTGGACTGTCTTCTCCTTGATTTACTTTACAGTAGTCTTTTGGCTACTGATGACACATTCTAGTATCACAGTATTGGAGAGGGGAAGTATATTAGTACTACGAAGCTGTAAGGGTTGCTGAAGGGGACTGCCACATGCTTCAGTCAGAAAAGAGTTTATTGGGAAAGCCAAACTGATGAGCCATACCCTAGAGCAGGGTGTAGTGTGTGGCCAGACTTGAGTGCAATAAAAAACGTGAGTCTTTTTGGCCTTCTGTAATCCTTTATAGGGAGTCTGGTGAGGGCGTAGAGGGGAGATGTTTGTGAGGACGTAGAGGGAGGAGTCTGTGAGGATGTAGAAAGAAGGAGGCACAGGTGAAGGCATCCCAGTCTGCCCAAGGTCTCTCCAGCTGAGAGTCAAATTCTTGATTCAGGTGTCCCCAAACTGAGAAGAGACTGGCTAAAAGGTGTGGGGGATCTCTGTGCCATGGCACCATGTCAAATGAGCGACAGAGGGCCTGTAGGTAGGAGTCACTCACCAGATGTAGACAAGAGACTGTGTAATGGGTGCATAGGCGCGAGACCTGACATGGGGTTCCTTTGGCAGTTTGGGTCTGAGGAGGGGCCGCCAGGAGGCGGATGGAGGATTGACCCTTGGAAAGAGAAGCGGAGAGGATCCAGCAACTCCTGTCACTATCTCCTCCCAGATTTTGGCACCAGAGGTAAGGACAGCGGACAGGAGACCGCCATGTGCTCCAGGCAGAAAAGAGTTGATTTAGGAGAGTCAAACTGCCAGGCTGCACTCGAGTAGCGTGTGGCCACTGGAACTAATGGCTGAGAGATTATATAGGGAAGGGTGAGAGGGAGGTGTGGCCACAGCAGAGGAAGTGACCTCAGAGCCTGGGAGACCTTCCACTGTCTCCAGGTATGCAGTGACCTGGGTTATAGGTACAGGGCGGGGACTGTGGGAGAGAACCAAGGAGGTCTACCTGCAGTTTCACATGGAGAGAAAACAAAGGGAAGGGGCCGTTTTTCCCAGTTGATCCTAACAAAACCAGTCTTACCTGAGGACTTCTGACGGGTGTTTTAAATTTCAGACCAGTCTAAGATGAAAGGTTCTCTGTAGTTAATTTATCCAGTGCAACACCATGCCTTCTTTCTTTGCTGGTCTCACTAAAATCCAGCTTTTGACTCATATTCTTAAAAATGATTCAGTTGAATTCATCTTTAATAATGAATCAGTTGGCCCCAAATCTAATTTGTCTTTCTCACATTTTCTTCTCCTCCTCATTTATCTACTGTTGACTTAGACATGATCAACCTGCTATGTCTTTCCCATATCTTCATTTTGATGAACTGCTTGATCACAGTATAAAAATATCTTATAGGAAAGATTTTTTAAATCCCCCAATTTCTTTTTCAGTGATTTTTTTTTTAACTTACACTTTTGAAGTATGAGGTATCAAGAAGGCATGAAGATTTCGGAGTTGTGCTATAATCACCATGAAACTTGAGCTTTTTGCATCGTATCTGTCAAAAGAGAAGCTAATTGAAATAAGGAGTAACCACATGCCATTGACTGGACACCAATTTCTAAAGCTGTCCCCTCTTCCCATGTACATCACTTTACCTGAGTCCTATCTGCACCTGGGCAGTCTCCACAATGGCAACATCCTCTTCACTATAGGGAACATCTTCAATTTCACCAGGCCTGTGGATAGGGAGGAGGTGAACCATCAATGAATGGGAATATCCATTGTAATGGTTGGTGTTTGCCGCTCAATGATTTCGAATCAACACACTCCTCTTCTGGCCCAATGGAAATGACCTTAGTAACAGCTTACTTCTTCCGGAGATTTCTTTACCTCTTCATGAATCTGCCTTTGAGCTTCCTGGAGATCAAACATTCTGAGGTCCAACTTTCCATAGCCCTACTAGGATTACACTACAGCCTCAGAGACACCGGCTTTCAGCATTATACACAATAAGCTTCTTGTGCTAAACAGACTCTGGTAAATCACTGCAACACTCCCACAAAAGTGGTTTCTACATCTTAACAACTGTCAGCTACAACAGTCTACTTTTGTTCAGTTCAAATGGCTGTACTATGTTTCTGCATACTGGAATATTCTGGCACACCTTTCTAAGTCCTATGTAAAGGGTAGACAAATGAATGGCATGTTTACAACACATAATGCTCTGGCCTGGCTGTGAGGCCTACCAGGGAGCTAAAAGCAAAAAGCTGGGTCTTACTGCTTCAAGGAGGCTTCATAGACACCGCTGTCTCCAGCCACAGACTCATCCGATACGGCAGCCGACACACAAGCGGGTTTCTCCCCAGGTATGTGAATTCTTCTTTTTGGTAATGATTTTTCCATATCTAGGAGAGGAAAGTGATAGCATTCATTAGTTTATTCTTAGAAACAGCATACAAATACAGAAATAGTTTAGTTGTGAGAAGTCCCAAGAACATTCTTCTGAGTCAAGGATGTTACTTCTTACATCAAAAGGTGTGGACATGCCAAGACATTGACTTACGAGATTCCTGAGGTGACAATTAATGTCAGTTGCTATTTGGAAATGTACACAATTTGTTTTTCGGTTTGGGTTTTTGTTTTGTTTTGTTTTTGTCCTGAAATACTTTTAGGGAAGTTATCACTTCCAGAAGTTAGATATAACTTCTCCCTGGTCCCTAGGGTCCCTAGCCTCTTTCCTTCAAGCATGTACAAACTACTATACACTTGAGGGAAGAAACGATGAGCTTCCCTCATATAGAGGGCTACTGTAGATTAGGAACAGGGCTTCTAGTCACACTGTGGAAAGGGAAGTTTCCATGTGTTTACTCTCAGCCTCTCTCTACATGCCATATTCTTAACAGTGTTACTACTCTAGCAAAAATTAAAGAGAATACCATCTTTGACTTACAGAAATTCCTCACCAGCTACTACAGTTTTAAAACTTCTGGTGCTACAGAATCTTTAGCACCAACTACCACTTGACTTTTATCTCTAACTCATATTCATACCCCAGCGTCCTGCAGTGAGCAAGGAGCATTCATTTAAAGCTGTGCTCTGTACTGTAATAAGCTGCAAGCCTGTGGAGTTTCTTTCATCCTCCAGCGAGTGAGCCAGAGGAGCCGTATTGCTATGCATTTCAGCCCCCCTCTGAGTCGTGACTTTACATCTTGTTAAGATGTTTAAGTTTTAAGGCTTCAGATTACAGGATTGATTGCTGCATTTTCCCTTTTATTTCTGGCAGTGGGAATGCTTTTTCTTGATGATGAAGTACCTTCTCTCCGCCCACCCCCCTTTGTGAGGGGTGAAGGTGATGACATGATTTATTGATTACCCCCAGGAATAACTACAGCAGCCTGAAATTGACTTTGACAATGACAGAGACTGACTGTGGAAAAGACTTCATAGTTATTTCAACTTGGTTTCTGTCATCCAGCAGGGACTGGTGCTGAGGAACAAAATTTATACAAAAACGACTCAACTTACCTGTGTCAGTCTTTAGAGCATGAGGAGAGAGAGAGAGAAAGAGAGACAGACAGACAGACAGAGAGACAGAGGGGGGGACAGAGACAGACAGAGAGACAGAGTTGGGGGGGACAATGTCCCTTACAAACAGGCACCCACTCCAAAGAGAAAGCAGATATTCCTTGAAGAGACTGATGAGTGTCAACAGAAGAGAAGTAGTCTTTATAATTCAATATATGCTTTCCGTTATTTGTGAATACGAAACTGGATACTATTTGTACGTGAGTGTATTTTTCCTTAAGGTGAACCTTTCTCTTTGTTTTTTCATAGTGCTACAGATCCAATCCAAGACTACATATGCCTGCAAGGTTACCTAGACTTGTCTAGTGACAAGTCTACCACTGAACCATCCCCTGGGGCCTTGAGAAACTTTTTAACAACAATCTTATAACATCTAACAAGTTAAAAATGATCTCTCCCAAGTTTCCAAGATTCCTACGCTCAGCTGCAAACTCACTGACAAACACAGCGGCAGACCCAAGTGTGAAGAGTCAGACACTAGCCAAGCAGAGAGGCCTGCATGACTGGGATCACTTAGGTGGGGGACACAGCCCTTTGTGTGATTTGGTGTTGTTGTTGTTTTCATCCTCTCTCCCCTTCTCCAGCAGTCAGCCTCACATACTGGGCCCGCCGTGCTGACACTAGGGAATATTTCCAATACATGAAGGGCAACGTCAGGTTGGTATGCTCAAGAAATGTTAAATATCCTGCAAGCCTAAGCAAGAAGCTTAGCTTCCTTGTCTTCCTCAACTTGCAGTGGAAGTAACTAAGCTTAGGAGCATTTATTTTAGTTATCATCATCATCATCATCTTGACCACATAGTCATGAACAAATACCATGTGCCAAGTAAGTGCACTAGATGTGCTCAGATGCTTTCCATGCATCATGGCTAATATGCCTGCCAAAAACAGCCAACCAGAGTAGCAAACACAACCTGGTGGAAATGTGGCTGACTCGAGTGACAGCATGTAACCCACCACCCTCCTTCCCAGAGGCAGAGGTCAGGCCCCAGGTAGCTTCCTGTTTGGTGATGCTGCGGTGCCCCTATCTTTCCTGTGCTTCTTTACTCTGTGGCCGATCATTTCAGTGACAATACTTAAGAGCTTTGGTGCTTCCCCAAGGGGAGGAGAGGGTATGAAAACCACACAAAAAACCCCAACTCCGTCCCAGGACTTGGGCAGGACACAGAATTTCGGCTTCAAAAAAAGAAAGAAAGAAAGAAAAAAGAATTTCAGTTTCAGTAGCTGAAGTGAAAGGCACAAGTTGGACTCATCTGTCTTCAAAGATCTGAACTGGTTAGCCAACTCATGCTTAGAATTCCTGGCACCATGCATCCAAATAAAAATGCTTCTGGAGAAAGCACGGAGTGTTTCCTCTGTGGTGGGCCTGCTGACACAGGCAGATCCAAACAGGGCTCCCCGGAGCAGCAGAGCTTTTACTTCGCTTTCTGCCGCAAGCTAGCTCAAGAATAATCATCCTTCTTAGACCATCGTGGAGATCATTTGCCAAAAGGGCACCATCTGTGCTCTTCACAACCATACCTCATACATTAAAGACTGCTGTAACGCAGAGGAAAACAATTTCTTAAACAATGAAATTCTCCTTGTTTGTGTCTCTTTGAGCACACACGGGAGTAAGGACTCCATCTGTCGCAATCTCTTCTAGAAACTGCAACTGTGAATGCAGCCAGAAGGTGGCAGGGTAACATCAGACACTGGACGCTGACTTCTCCACATTAACTTTACACAGAAGGGGAGAATCTGGCATGAAACAAAAATTGTATTTATAGAGAATTCCCTGAGCAATCTAAACATTGAACCTTGGCACTAATTAGCTGATATGCTAATTGACTTGGTTTTAATCTGTTTTAGGCCAACTTTGGAAAGAAAACCCTCTTCTTTGCCTTGCCATTTCAGACCTGGAGTCTACTAGAAATGTTGTGGACTGTGCTCAGGAAGTATGTTCTGGCCACCTCCCACACACTGAAGGCCCTTGGACCACAGAGCAGATGCCTAATGATGAGACTGATCAGACAGGGAGTGAAACGTTCATCCAATGAAGACAAAAACCTGTGTATATGAATAAATACTCCTTAAAGGAAGCCAGCTGATACTGGGGAGGAAGGGGATGATTCCATTGGTTTATATGGAAGATTTCACGGGAGTACCTGAAATCACCCTCCTCCACTTACCTGCTGTGCCTTCATACAATGGCTCCCTAGCACATTCGTTAAGGCCTTTGTCTTCTAAAAGAGCCTGGGATGCTCCTCCAGAGTCTGAATCCGACAGGAGCTGACTCTCGCCGAGGCCAATGTCTGCAAAATGGCTACTCAATTCACAGTCTTCAAAGTCAGCCGTGAACTGATGGAGAGAGGCATCATGGGAAGACGTGGGAAACGTGCCTTCCAAGACCAAAGGAGAGCCCGGGGGGGACAAGGAGGACAGGGAGGACCTCGAGGACAGGGATGTCACGGACTTGGGGGCCTCCGTCAGCGGAGGAGTGTGGCCGTTGGCTGCGGCTGTCGCCCCACAGAGTCCACTCTGGCCAGGCTGACTGGGGCACTTGACCACCTCGTTTTCATGGATGGTGGTGATGGGTCCGGAGGGAATATAACCGCCCTTCTCCTGTAGAAGGAAGTCCAGTTTATACTGATAGTCCACGTCTAGCTGGTCCCCCGGACTGCTGTAGTAGAGCTCACTGGAACTGAGGGAGTTGAGTGAGCCTCTGCTGGAGGTGTTGAGGGAGCCCCGGCTGGACGCCAGGGATCCCAGGCTGCTTCCGGACGACATGGACAGCGTGCTGGCGGAGAGGCTGAGGGAGGAAAGCACACTTGTCAGATCTGTCCCTAGCTACAGCCCCTGTTGGCTCCTGCAGGCCCTGACAGGAAAGGACACCAGTGGCGCCAAGTGTGGACGCTGTGGCCAGGGCACTGGAATCTTCTGTAGTGACAGGCGTGTGTTTCCTTTACTCACTTGTATCCCCTTCATGGCTCCCAAAATACTCTTGCCATAGCAATTCCAGTGTCCTTCTTAACCTACCTCCCTTTGGCCAAAGTTGTTTTTTTTTTTTTTTAAAGAGAAAGGATTAAATATCTACACAGAAGGACCTTTGCAACTATACAGTATTGAACAAACCACCACCACTGCGAAGAAATGACTAATACAAAGTGTTAATGTAGTCACTTTGCTTTAAAAGCCTGATTTGGACTGGGAACAGTGGCTCATGCTGGTAATCCCAGCTTCTTGATTTTTGCCAGGGACCAAACTCAGAGTATGATGCTTCTACTGGTGTCTCCCTGCTAGCTGGGATTGTGGGCATAAACATCCATACTTGGCTTCTTTGTTGACATGGGGAGCCAGAAGTGGTGCTGTGTCTCAAGTGGTGGAACACAAAAGCTTAGAGACAGCACAGCCAGGCCCTGAGTTCAAGCCCTAGGACCAACACACACACACACACACACACACACACACTCTCTCTCACACACACACACACACACACACACACACAATGGAATAAGGGCTAAAATGTGATATTTTCCTACATTCTTACTGATAGGCAAAACATCTTTCTATAAAATATTTCAAATATACTCCAAATCTGATTTTGGGCTCATAAAACACAATCCATGTGACTCTGAGTTTGGTAACATCAGCTGTACTGACAAAACCATTTCATTTCCATTTCTTTAGCTTTTTTTTTGGGGGGGGGGGGAGGGGGGAGGGTCCAGTCGTGGGGCCTGAACTCTGGGCCTGGGCACTGTCCCTCAGCTCAAGGCTAGCACTCTATCACTTGAGCCACAGTGCCACTTCCGGCTTTTTTTTTTTGCTTATGTGGTGCTGAGGAATCGAACCCAGGGCCTCATGCATGCAAGGCAAGCGCTCTACCATTGAGCCACCTTCCCAGCCAGCCCCCGCCTTTTTTTTTGCCAGTCCTGAGGCTTGAACTCAGGGCCTGGGCGCGGTTCATGAGCTTCTTTTGCTCAAAGCTAGCAGTCTACCACTTGAGCCACAGCCCCACTTCCGGCTTTTTCTGTTTATGTGGTACTGAGGAATCGAACCCAGGGCTTTATGCATGCTAGGCAGGCACTCTACCACTAAGCCACATTCTCAGCTCCCATTTACTTTTAAATAGCGGAAACAAAGTACCAAATAACCAAAGATGAACTACAATGTGCCTGAACATCTGATAAGAGTCCCCAAAAACTTACCTTTTAAGTTGTGAATGCAAATAAGTAGTTAATTTAGTAGTTTCTTCAAGTTTCTGTAGCAGCTCTTTTCTTCTCTCTTCCAATTTCAGTCTAGAAAAAGACAGATTATTATGCAATATGAAAATCAAAAGAAGACAGGTATACAAATATTACATATGACAAAGGAAATCCGAATGACCTTGACTGAGAGACAAGAGGACCACCAGAAGGGACCCCGGCAAAATTGCACACAGCCATGATAAACCAAGGGAGAGATTTGGGCCCCACCTCCATTTTTCTAATCAGTACTCAAAAAAGAAACGTGCTGCTGCAACTTCAAAAGGCTGGCAGTGTGACGTTTCCTATAGGTCTGTGAGTTAGGGAAGGAAGAGTGAGGAGAAAAACTAGGACAGGAACAACCTGCTCAAAGACTACAGAATCCTTACACAGATCCTAACTTGGCCTCCCATTACTTAGCAACAACCATCTCAAAGTACTGTTCGATGATAAAAATTTTGTAATCCTGATTTTATGAGAATTTTAGTGATTAACAAAGATTAGAGGGCCAGGAATGGAATGCCTGTATAGTCCTTTCTACTTAGGAAGTAGAGACTGGGAAGATGATGGTTTAAGGCCTGCCTGGGCCAAAAATTAGTAAGATTCCCAAGGTATGAGAGTTCATGCCTGTAATCCCAGCCATGTTGGAGGTGAGGATAGGAGGATCGAGGTCCGAGTATTTCTCTGGGTGAAAAGCAAGACCCTGTCTCATTAAGAAAAGCGAAAGGGCTGGGGAACATAGTTTAAATGGCAGGAAGTGCCTGCCTAGAAGGTACAAGGCCCTGAGTTCAATTCAATATCAGTACAATTGGAAAGAGAGGGAAGGGAAGAGGGAGAGAGGATTTAAGCATTTAAGCAAGAAGACTTCAAAGTGACTTTTCTCACTACCTGCCATCTCCTCACCTGCTCTAGCTTATCATAAAATTTTACACATATTCAACTGCAAAAGCTTTGGAGCTTTTTTTGTTGTTAAGATTATTATGGGGCTGGGAAGGTAGCTCAGCGGTAGTGTGCATGCCTTGCAAGCATGAGGCCCTGGGTTCGATTCCTCACCACCACATAAACAGAAAAAGCCGGAAGTGGCGCTGTGGCTCCAGTGGTAGAGCGCTAGCCTTGAGCTGAAGAGCTGAGGGACAGCGCCCAGGCCCGGAGTTCAGGCCCCATGACAGGCAAAAAAAAAAAAAAGATTATTATGATGTTTTATTGTGGAAACTAACTCGCTGAAAACTAGATCAAGCAACCAAGGCACAACTTAAGAGCCTGCGTAAGTAGTGGGAAGCATGAGGGGTCTTAAGACAGGCTGGAGCAAGCCACTCCATGGGTCTCGGGGGTAACACCTGCACCACAGTTCCTAGCCCTGCACTCGCTGCTTGCAAGCCGTCTGTCCTCATATCCTTGGTAAGTCCTAGCTTCAAGAGTCTCACCTTTCTCATCTGTAAAATGGTGAATATCATCCTCCTGAACCTACTTGATAAGGCACGCAGGGGAGTCTAACCATAATGTACCAGAAAGTGCTATACAGACGATAAAACCACACTGCTCCTGTTCAAAGCCTCAACACACCCTGCACTGTGGTGATAGAAAAATTAGCCACTTTGGTTTAAAGAAAAATAAATGCCCCTGATTGCCAGCCTCTTTGAAATTTTATGTATGTCTTAGGTAATAAGGAAATATGCTCATGTTTTATTTATAGGAATCTATCCCTTTGATGTGTCAATAACAATTTCATTAAAAAGGCATTCTTGTCATTTTCTTTACTACTTCAAGGCCAGATAAATTCTTAACTCACAGTTGTATAAAGAGCACAGTCTTTAGTTTTCTTCGTCTCTCAAATATAAACAAAATCTCAACAAGACTAAAAAAAAATAAGACAAAGAAGACTGATTGAGAAGGTGCACAGATATATGGAGAAATGAGAGAAATATTCTTTTTTTTTTTTATGCCAGTCCTGAGACTTGAACTCAGAGCCGGGGCACTGTCCTTGAGCTTCTTTTGCTCAAAACTAACCCTCTACCACTTCAGCCACGGTGCCATTTCTGTTTTTTTTTTTTTCCTGTTTATGTGGTACTGAGGAATCGAACCAAAGGTTTATGCATGCTAGGCAAGTACTCTACAACTAAGCTACATTCCCAGGTCCAAGAGAAATATGTGAGCTTTAAAACTAAATATTATAGCCAGGCACTAGTGGCTCATGCCTGTAATCCTAGCTAGTCAGGAGGCTGACATCTGAAGATCGAGGTTTGAAGCCTCCCCAGACAGAAAAGTCTCCATGAGAGTCTTATCTCAAATAAATTACTCAAAAAAGCCAGAAGTGGCACTGTGGCTCAAGTGGTAGAGGGCTAGCCTTGAGCACAAAGAGGCTCAGGAACAGTGCCTAGGCCTGGAGTTCAAGCCTCAGGACCAGCAAAAAAAAACCAAAAAAACAAAAGAAAACACCCTAAATATTGCTGTTATTAAGATAAAGGCTTTTGGTTGTATTTTAAGGATGCTGTGGAGGCTGGGAAGGTGGCTCAGTGGTAGAGTGCTTGCCTCACATGTATGAGGCCCTGAGTTCAGCTCCTCAGCACCACATAAGCAGAAAAAGCCAGAAGGATGCTGTGGCTCAAATGATAGAGTACCAGCCTTGAGCTGAAGAGCTGAGGGACAGTGCCCAGGCCCAGAGTTCAGGCCCCATGACAGACAAAAAAAAAAAAAAGGAGGCTATGGTATGGCATGAGAATATTCATATACACGCAAGCGTGAAGCTGGAATACAAAGTTCGTTTGTCTTTTTCCTGACCGCGGGGAAGCCATCCCTGCCTCCAGGAGACCACACAAGCTCTTGTTCACATGTCCCCACCGTGAAGGCGGCTGCCAGCTTTCCTCCTTCTCACTGGTGTCATCAGGAGAAGCATGACAGAGAAACAAACAGGCAGTCACAGAGATGATCTCCTGATGTCCCCACCCAGCCAGGTCCAGGGACAGCGGGAAGTCTCCCTCAGATTCTAGATGTCCCCGTAGGGAGACATCCTCAAAAATGGCTGGACAGCTGCCCTCTCAAGGGGCCCCACCCATTTTCCTGAGCTCTTCTCTAGCCTCTGGCTTCTTGTCTCCTCAGTGAGAAGGTAAGAGTCTCTTCATTTGGGAGCCTAAAAAATATCCCTCAGCCCCGTCCTGCTATTCCATGCCCTCCTTCCCACTGCACTTGGTAGGTTCTATGTGCCCTCCTGCCTGGGTGCTGAGGGAGAGAGAGGCCACCTGGTCCCTCCTAAACTCAGACCTTAACTCCAAGGGACAATTTGGTTCCATTCATTAGGGAGAAAAGTCCTTGTTCCATTAAATAAATGGTATTGGCACCTTTATCCACCAACTTTAAAAAATACATTTCATAAGCCCTCACAAAAACACTCAAATAGTTAAGAAATACTAGCTGGGTGCTGGTGGCTCACGCCTATCCTTCTAGCTACTCAGAAGGCTTGGATCTGAGGATCATAGTTCAAAGCCAGCCCAGGAAGTTAGGTCTGTGAGACTTATCTCCAATTAACGAACATAAAATTGGAAGTCACACTGTGGCTCAAAGTTGTAGAGTGCTAACTTGGAGCAAAAAGAGCTCAGGCACAGTGCCCAGACCCTGAGTTTGTTGACCACCGCCACCAACAACAAAAAGAAATAATAAAAGACACTGTGGTTATTAGAAGGCAAACTCCCAGGAATTCGTAGGAAAATAACGTATGATGATAAAATCTTACCAGCTCTAGAAAAGCACAGACTTTACTAAATGGAGGAAAGAATAGAAGAAGTGGAGGAAGTTGTGCACTGCATGACTTTTCATTTATAGCAATTTCTCTTTGAACCTGAGGATCCTTCCAATGGTCATCATATGATGATGTGCTTCATCACCACTAGGTGGCGACCTCACCACTATAGTCAGGCTCCGGTTGAGTACAGAGGGGCAGGAACTGGGCTCAGGAACTGGGCTCAGGGTCATAGGCTGGCTGAAATTCATGTGAATTTAACTACTCGAGAGGCCACACTCCAGTAAATACTCAGAAGCTTGTCTAACATCCTCCTGAATACTAAGCCATCACAATTTAAATGGAAAACAGGAACATGTAGGACAGTGCAGCAAGTAGTTCTTTGGTAGTTACTGTGTAGAGACCCAGACGTGATTGAGGGATTTGGTGTTGACGGGGCACAAAGATGAAATCAAAGTTTGCACAGAGATTCCTATTCCACAGAAGCGTCCCTGTCTTAACATGGAGAAGTAAGAGTGCTTCCCAAGGTGTCCTACCTTCTGAGGCTCCACTTACCCCTGAGTAGCAGCCACAAGCACAGTAGAAATACACATGGAGGAGGAAGAAACAGTAAGAATAAGAGCAAGTCACAGAATGAGGGGAAGTGAAGCAAAACCATGACTTGGGAAACGAAGGATCCCATGCTTGCTACTGTGGGTGGGTTGTGGAATCACAGTGCTCTGAGCAACCAACGCTGGCAATTACATCCATCAAGCAAGAGAGCCCAAGTCCCTCAGCCTTTCACTGTCATAGAGATTTGGGGATTTGCCTCTGGCCACAAACACTAGAAATGACTGTTCACTTGCTGGAATGCCGAATGACTCAGAAAGGCAACGATTCATAAATAAAACATACATTTCCCTGCTTGGGCGACAAGCCACTAGTATCATAAATTAGTGAGTCTGTCCACACTGCTAATTCCCCACATGACACAAACCCCATGGCTGGACCTCAGGAGATCCGTCACTACCTTTGAGAAGTGTTTTATGGCTCCAACTCCTGATGTGTCCCAACCTACTGTTGGAGTTTTGTTTTTGCTAGGATCTTGACAGTTATATGCGGGCAAACAAAAATATGAAAGTCTCTTAGGAACAAACTATCCCTAATAAAAAACAAACAAACAAGCAAGACACCACACCCATAAAAGCTGAGTAAAACAAAGGAACAAACATGTATGTGTTTTGTTTCTCAAACTGTAGGGCCTTCCAGAGTCGCCTATTTTTACAAAGCAGAATGTGACATGCGTACAATTACGTATACCCCCAGTTCCACCCTGATGAATTCAACTGATCAAAAATATTCAGGGGGAAAAAAACCCCCAACAACCTGCTTTTGTACTGGTTGTGCATATCCATTATATATATATGTATGTATGTATGTATGTATAAAACACATATCTATCCACTGGGATTTGAACTCAGAGCCTCATGCTTCCTAGGCAAGCAATATACAACTCAAGACACATGTCTATTTGCTTAGTTATTTTTTGGATGGGGTTTCCTGCTTTTCTTTGGGGCTAGTCCTAGATGATAATGCTTCTCACATAGTTATGATTACAGAGGTACTCTTGTTTGTTGAGATAGGTCTGGCTTTTTGCCTGGGTATAATGATCCTCCCAATCTTTACCATCCAAGTTGCTGAGATTACAGGCACACACTACCACATGCAGCCCTTGTATTAGGTATTATAAGTAATCTAAAAGTGATTCAAAGTAATGCATGTGGGTAATAGGCAAATATTTCATACAATTATACATGTTATGTATATAACACTGCGTATATTACATGCATATTATTCATATCACATGTATATCACAATATTACATGTAATGCTGTCATATTACATATATATTACAGAATTCTTTTTAGGGCTAGACAAGGATTTTTGTATCGGGGGAAGGGTCCTGGAGCCAATCTCCCCATGGACATAAAGAAATGACTGTTTACCATGTTATTGAATGCTAAATAATGTACCCATAGACCTCACAAAAACTACCTATTTCATCATACTTATTACTGATGACTATGGATCTTTTATACTAGAAGCTGAAATTCTATGAATATGGGCAAGGGTAACCCAGGGAAAGCCATTTCATTTAGCCTTGACATCTCATTCTTTTAGCTCCTGTTAGTGCTTTTCAATGGGCCCTGACTTGGCCTTGAACACATCAACCTTAGGCAGACCTTTTGGTCAACACCACTAGACAAAGAAGTCAGAGCAGCAGAGGAATGGGAAGTGGGGTGACAGGGGACCAGGATGAGACGTTTACAGACAGTAGCAGAATGCTACCCCAAAGCTATGAGGCTGTAGCCACATAGCCTTGATCAACATTCTAACTCCTCAGTCACTAAAATGACTAAATTTGACAGGGGCAAGTTCTCAGGCAAATACCTAAGTGGGAGTGTCAGAAATGATTCCTCTCTCCCTCCCTCCTACATACTTTCAAAAGTTTTGATACTGTGTAGACATACAACCTAAGCGTTTATTGAAACTAGGGATTAGAGGGCAAGAAGCCAAGAGATTAAAAAAGGAGAGATTGGATTATAGCTACATATTTTAAACTTATTTCCAGGTCACTGGAGATCACAGCCACATAAATTTTATGGCCATGTTGCAGGACTGGCTGCTCTATGCTTGCTGGTGGGAGGATGGTACCGAGGTTCTGAATGGTACAACAGTCTGTTCTGAAACAGGTGTCCATAACACAGCCAGCAAGATTGGAACACAAGGCAGTAGAGTGCAGTAGTAAGCGAGTCCAATGAGAAAGATTCCCTTCCTAACATGCCAGCTGATCTGCTTATACAACTGGATTCTTTTCTTTTTTGTGCCAGTACTGAGGCATGAACTCAGAGCCCAGGATATATCCCTTAGCTTTTTTACTCAAAGATGGTGCTCTACCACTTGAATCGCACTTCTGGTTTTTTTACTGGTTACTTGGAGATACATGTCTTACAGACTTTCCTGCCTGGGCTGGCTTCAAACTGAGATCCTTAGATCTCAGCCTCTTGAGATTACAGGCCTGAGTGCCTGGCGGCCACAACTGAATTCTTCAAATGATCAACTGACACTTTCTTGAGAGTATTTTCGTTTACATTTCATCTGCTTCAGAGGAGCATTTCAACTGACAAATAAAACCCATGGGACACTTTGTGACCTGTTAGGATATCAGAGGGAGCAAGTTGTCTTTCATTTTCCTTGTGAAATTAAAAGCAATAAACTTTCGCATTCTTGTGAGCAATAAAATCCAGGCTAGGAAGCTTCAGTCGCTTATCAGAGTGCGATAGTTTATAGCTATTGTTATCAGCCTGGTCAACGATGTACTGCATTCTGGGTCTTATGTCAACATTCTTTAGTGATTGGCCATCTGTCACAGGCATTTCGCATTCCTGACACACACAAGGAACTGATACTGGGGGCCATTGGGAGGGTGTGCTTTATTGCTCCACAGAGAGTCCCTCTGGGCTGTTTCCCATCCACTAAGAGGAGATGCAACTGAGATTTCAGAATCCAGAGAGAAGAAAACATCATCGGCTAACATAAAACGATAAGTTTTAGGTTGCCCTGTTCCCAGAGGAAAACAAACCTTTCGGCCAGGGCCCGGGTGGGCGCACCCCGCACAGACAGCAGCTCTTCCTCCAGCCGCTGCCTTTCAGCTTCCAGGCGTTCCAACTCATCTTGTGTGCGCTTTTGTGGAGTGACAAACTGCAGCTCTTTCAAAAGTTCTTCTTTTTCGTTAATCAGCATCAGCTTCTCTTTCTCTATATCCAACGCCCCGGGCCAGGTCTCACTATCTAACTTTGACAGTTCAATTTTTAAGTTGGCCATGCTAAAAAGAGACACAAGATTCATACACACATAGTTAGGACTCTGGAAGAAGGTAGATGCAGGCTAGGGGGAATCTGAGGAGGACTTGTAGTCCAGATCCTCCCAACTGTAGCTCATCAGGGAGTAGCTGTGCCCCACATTCTGGTTTCTAGTTTGAACCCACATTCAGCTATCATCTGCTCTATGTCCTTACCTTTACAATGTGAATGAGCACATTGCCCTAGCTGTTGGAAGTGTGAAGGTCAAGCACACAGAAGCTTTAGAGGCAGAGTGCTCTGGGGTCATGTATAGGCAGCTTGAATGTATATGGGAGAAGGGAAGGCTTCCATGAAGAAACAACTAGGATGCCAGAAATGCCATTACTGCAGAATTTGTTCCTCTGGGTAAAGAAGCTGTCGCCTAGGAAAGTAGGGATTCTCAGAGACTAGATCTTAGCAAATCAGGGGCAGAGGATGGAGAAAAGAGCAGTGGATTGGTTAACTCACATTAAGGCAAAGTCAATTAGTTGAGGCTCCATGTCACCAAGGAAAAGAGGAGAAGGGCTTGGCCCCCTCACACCCACATTCTCCTTTAGCCTTGTACTGGCAAGTCTCTCTCTAGCAAGGCCCTGATTACCATGACCATTTATTAAGTACTCATTGCGCCAACATCCTACACATTATTGCCTCTGACCTATGTTCCCCCACACCTGGCTGTTCAGCTGTGCAGAAGCAGGCGCAGTGGACCTTACCCAGCACAGGCAGGTGGCATGATACCACGGGGGTGACAGAGAGAGGAGGGGATGAATTGGAAAATAACCAAAGGTAAATGATTAGTATCAAAACATTGGCTGATCCTATATTTCATTCTGCTGAGAGCTCCATAATAAATAGTAGAGCTAACCAATTCAATGTGAACTTAAACTGAGTCAACCTGCCTGGTGGCACTGTGAAGACGACCACTACTCTTTACAAAACAAATAAACAAACGCATGGCTCTTTTGACCACAAAGCTCAAGAGCCAGGTAAACCATAAACACAACTGATGTTGATATAATAATAGATGATTACGTTGGATATTGTTACAGTATACACAGAATATGGGAGACTGAGAGAAAAGGGGTATTTTTTTTCTTTTTCAATGGAAGAAACTGTAAAAGACAAGAAAATGGAAAACAAAAATTGGCACCTTTGATCTCCATTGCTGATGCCCTGTCCTCATTTTCACCCCCATGTGCACTTTGACAGATGGAACATCAGCTATTCTTTGCCATTAACCACAAACTGTCTCAATGCATTGGAAAATTAATCATCAAAATGCTAAATAAGCATGATATTATTAGCTCCATTAAGCACATAAAACAAAGTCTAGAGGAGAAAACAGGTTTCAGAGAAACACAATCTACCTCTTATTCAGAATCGAGGAGGAAAATGCATTTTTAACATAGGCATACCCTTAAGAGTTATGTTCTCCTCAGCATCAGTTAGGAGATTTAAAACAAACCCCACCTTGTCTAGTAATATAACCAAAAGGGAGAAAATGAGTGCCTTGAGTTTTGATGTGTTCAAATTAATCAACTGAGCTGAGAACAACCATGTAAGCAAGAAAGCAAGGGACCTGGTTCATTACTCTGGTGGTCAGAAATCAGGGAGGTATTGAACTTTTGTTGCAGAAAGAACATTGTACATCTGAGGAGCAGAATGCGGAGGAGACTTCCAAGAAACACTCATGTGCTGTAATTCTAGGTGGTATTACCTGTTAGCAATCACAGACTAACAAAAGCTGGTCCAAGGGACCAGACAGAACCAAGCCAGTAAGAACCCAGGGGCACAAGGCATGGGTTTTCAGGATTTATTCTGAATTTTTGCCATTCATCTTCAGGAAAAACTCCTTGGTAGAACCAAGGAGGTGTGGCAGCGAAAGAGTTGCTCTGCTATTATCAAGAGAACCAAAGCAGCATCCATGAATAATCTGTACATCACCAGACCCCAAACCACAGATCAGCCCCCACCACTTACTAAAGGCAAAATCCTACTGAAGTCTGGGCCCTGATAAGGAAATAAAATACTTTTTTTCCTACCTTTAAGACATTTAAAGTCTACTAGAAAAAAATTTAAAGACATTAAAATTGGCTAAGTAAACTTGTTCAGAGTGACTAAGTGACTTGCCTAAGGTCATGTGGTTAATTATTTGTGAACTGAAGCTTAGGTTTCTTTTAATAAACTGAAGAATCAACTAACATTAGAAATGTAGGCTACATAAAGGCAAATATTGTATTCATTTTACTTTGGTAAAGTTAGATAATCTCTAAGAACTATAGGCAATTACTTTAAAATTTTCACATCCAGGGTAATAGTGAATATACTTTGATATCTAGTGGTTTTGCTTATGGTAGAAAGCAGGACACTCCAGAGGTTCCCAGCTGAGCTTTTCCTGCTCATGGGAAGGAACGTGGTAAATACCTTGGTCTCCTACAGGGTGACAATGCAGGATTTCCCAGTGTCTCCTAAATACCAAACCAATAACATCCTTTAAGCTTTTCGATTGGAATAATCAAATCATCTCTAAAACATCTCCTTCAAAACAAGTAAGGCATGCTATATTATGAAAACTATCTGAAGTTCTGGGTACTAGATAAGGAGCTCACCCCCATCAGAGTCACAAAAATGCAAGCACTACGCCTGATAAGAGTTCAGAAGGTAGAGGATAGAAATAATAATCTGTCTTCCTTCTCCCTGACATACGCCAACTGGCACCCACCTTAGCAACCACAGAGGACATTAGCAGTTAGACTTGCCTGTGAGCAGAAGAACATGGTCAAAAGAACCCGCCAGCAGCTCTCTAGTTCTGAGCCCCCAAGTCTCTGTATGGCATTGCCATCAGAGGAAATCAAGCTTCTTCAATTACAAGTGCCTCCCACAAGGGGTCAATTTTACTCTCCCTCTACCCACAGACTTCTCATTAACTTCCATATTCTTAAGCTTTGAAGGAAGGGGAAGGAAAGAAAAAGAGGGAAAGCAATCCTTCCCAGCTACAAAGCCACCACCTCAGGCTAACCTTCGGGAGACATGTGGGAAGTGCCCAGCAGATGTCACCACCAGAATGGGAGATTCATTCTGAAGAAACTGTCGAAGCCTACAGACTCTGAACAGAACAGCACTCCTGTGTTCTTACCTTCTTTTGGCTTCTTCATACTGTAGGCTCAGCCTGACCTTTTCGGCTAAATTTGATCTACTTCTCACTCCAATCTAGTAAAAACAAAAGGAAAAAGAAAAGTCAATTAACTCTGCTAATGAATGAAGTAAACTGCTTTTGTTTCTAGGAAGTGCAAGTAATTGAAAAGCTCAAGAAAATGGCAGTGAAATGGGAAAGCACCAGTTTTAGAAGGCGCTTACTTTCCAGGCTCAGTGGGGGCAAAACATTTCTTTCAGTTCCAGCTTGTCTGCTTTTCAGAGACTTTAATGGCACTTTCTCGACAAATTAAATTCAAGACAAAAATAACAGGTAAATGTGTCTGGTATCTAAGAGTTTATGAAGGGCATACGGTTAATAAAATTTATAAACTGGAACTGATTTGTCTTTTATGAGCAAAAAATTTCCATCATTTGGCTTTACACTGTACAAAATATAAACTACACCTCAAAAATATTCAAGTGGGTAAGTTTGCTGTAAATATCTACCTGTCTTGCTTTCATAGCACATACTTCAAAGAAGTATAGAATACAAAATAATTGAGAACTTACTTTTTTTAAAGCTTGCTAATAGCATTCCACGAGGGAGAAGGCAAAATAGTTAATATTCAAATCACATTAAATGCTCTCAAATGTCAGCTACAAATCACAAATTCAACACTTTAATCAACTTTAAACTTACAAAAGCAACTTTTCTTGTTAGCGGTAAAAGCCATATATTTCTTTTTCTCATTAGCCTTAATGTTCATTTGAAATAACCTAAATTTCCAAAGCTCCAAACTCAATAGGAAAAAGTTAAAATTTTTATGTCTCTCTAGCCTCTCAATGGAGTCTCTGAAGAAATGCTGTTGTTCTTCATAGAAACAAATCTCGGTATGTGTGGCACCCTCACAGAAAAGGCTATGATTTTTTTTAAGTCAATCTTAACAAGAATGAAATGCTGAATGCACACAGTCTAGCTCCTGTTCAATTCAACATCCACACTATTATTAAAGCCCATCAAGTTCAACATCAGGCCAATGAAAAGCACAGACAACTTACATCTCCAGAAATGCTTGTTTGCGACCCGGCATCAAGTGTCTGTCTGGAGACAGATAAATGAGACTGCACAGGACTGGATCTCAAATCTGGCTCAGAGGTGCCAATGTTCTGATCCAAATGAAACCGCTCCTGCAGCTTAGCCAGACTCTGTCCAGAAAACATAAAGTATTCCATAAACCTTAACGTATACAAAGGAGACCCTTCCCCACCACAAAAAACTAAATGGAGAAAGAGCTCATCTCAATTGGAAAAATAATTCTTTTGTTTCAGTTACTTTTCCATATACGTATGTGACTTTGGAAGTGAGGTCATATTAAACAGGTTGTTTCTCCAGATAGCATTTTCTTGTGCACTTTAGTATCTTCAGGTCTAATATTTACATTTCTTATTTCCAAAAACTTCATCAAGAAGTCCCTATTTCATTTGGTCTTTTTTGGTTTTTGTTTTAGCAGCACTGGCATTGAACGAGGGATCTCACAATTGGTTGGCAGGCACTCTACCACATGAGCCACATTCCCAGTAAGTTTCTGTTTCCACAGGAATCTGCTATGGCTTTTAAAAAAATATATATGGTTTATATGGATCTCCCAAAAGTTCATGTACTAGAAGATTAGCTCTCAGTGTGACAATATTCAGAGAGGTAGAGAAACTTTTTTTTTTTTTTTGGCCTGGGGCTTGCACTTAGGACCTGGGTGCTGTCCCTGAGCTCTTTCTGCTCACGGCTAGCACTACCACTTTGAGCCACAGCTCCACTTCCAGTTTTCTGATTGTTAATGAGATACGAGTCTTATGGACTTTCCTGCCCAGACTGGGTTTGAACTGCAGTCCTCAGAATTCCGCCTGCAGAGTTGCTGAGATTTACAGGTTTGAGATACTTGTGCTTAGTGGTAGAGGAACTTTTAAGAGGTAAGGGATGGGAAGTTGGCTCAGTGGTAGAGTGCTTGCCTCGCATGCACGAGGCCCTGGGTTAGATTCCTCAGCACCACATAAGCAGAAAAAAGCTGGAAGAAGTGCTGTGGCTCAATGGTAGAGCACTAGCCTTGAGTTGAAGAGCTGAGGGACAGAGCCCAGGCTGAGTTCAGCCCCCATCACCTACAAAAAGAAAAAAAAAAAAAAAAAAGAGGTAATGCTGGTGCAAGGTTTTTAGGTCATTGCTGTATCACTTATGAAAGAGATGAATATAGTTCTCAGAGACCTGGTTAGTTCCTAGACAGTGTATTACAAAGGTACAAGATTTGTCTCTGATTTTCTCTGGGTGTCTGTCTTGTGAAATGATCTATACCATATACAACCCTCTATTGCGATGTCATCTAGAATGAGGCCAAAGCAATGGAGCTACACAATCTTGGGCACTTTGTTATACCAACAGAAAACATGAATACAGAACTTACTCTGTGTAATTGGAAATTAGGGAAATATGGAATATTCATAATGCAATCTCTCACTTTATATATAGTAAAACAATTCCCTACTTTCACCATTACACCATTCCATATCTGGGCAAGAATCATGAGATCACTCAGCTTACATTAATATAAGAGAGTAGGAAACTAAGGTGCAGAGGTTGCTACAAAGTGGTCCATATCTCAGTTGAGTCCACCTATATGTGTCTGTTGCATGACACCATCTACAATGGCTAACTCGGTGTAGGGAATCATCAACAGTAAATGTGAGTGTTGCTGATACTAGACCTGGCCTAGTTTACTGGGCTTACTTTAGAGGGAGGATAAATAAAGTGTTAAAATAGAAAACCTATCTAACACATTAAAAAAGTAAACTCTATAGTAACACCAATAAGAATGGCAAGAAGCCAGTGTTATGACTTCAAAGGAGCTAGTATTTAACACTGATATTTGAATTTTTCATAAATAAATAGAAATATCAGAGATCAGGTCTGTCATTTTTACCTAACTTCTCTAGTCAAAGGGCTATCTGACACATGCATGTGGAAAAGGAGTAAAACTTACACAGAAATTTCAAATTGTATATAATGTAAAAGAAGAAAGCAATTTTTCAGTGATCTCAGGCAAGGCTTTTCTATTTTTCCATCTATGAATTGAAAAGTGGTTTTCAATCTTATCTGTGAGGACAATACATTTAGAGAGTTGGGTTGTTTGCAGCTAGTATGTTCTCAGTGAAATAGAGGGTAGTACAGAATAAAATCAGAATACATTACCAGTATCAAGAGCAGGAATATAATACTTTTGTGAAACTTGGTATGTTGTGTGTGTGTGTATACATAATTGTACTTGGTCTGATGTAAAATATAATTCTAACTATACTCAAAGAATGATAGAAGTTATCTAGAGCCACTTCCAACTCTATTGTCAATCTTGGTATCTACTAATTATTCTATGTCTTAAAAAGAAAGAAATCTAATCTTTTAATTAATCTGGGATGTATATGAGCTCAAGTTTACAGAAAGAATTAAATATGACCTAAAATTGTTAAATTATAAGGTTCCAATGTAAAATTTTCAAGTCCCTTGAACTTTTTTTTTTTTTTCCTTCTTCAGTTGTGGGGCTTAACTCAGTGTCTGGACACTGTCTCTGAGCATTTTGCTCAAGGCTAGCTCTCTATCACAGCTCCACCTCTGGTTTTTAAGTCTCATGGACTTTTCTGCCCAGGTTGGCTTTGAACTATAATCCGTGAACTTTAAAAAAAATGGGCCTATGGTGTACATTTCAAGAATTACTAATTTACTTAAAAGGAAAACAAAAATATGTAGAAGTCTTGCTTATGTATGCTAAAATATCTGTGTATTTTAGCATATATATGCTAAAACCACACATTGTGCCAGGCACTAGTGGCTCATGCCTGTAATCCTTGCCATGAAAAGGGTAAGATCTGAGGATCAAAGTTAAAAGCCAGTCTGAGCAGAAAACTGGTGAGATTCTTATTGGTGAGAACACCAAAAAGCTAGAAGTGGAGCTATGGATCAACTGGTTGAGCAAAAATGCTCAGAGACAAGTGCCCGGGGCCCTGAGTCCAAGCCCTAGGGGGTGAGGAGAACTCTCACACATTTGGGAGCCATAGTGCCTGGGTTTACATCCTAGTTCTGTACTTACCAGTTAAATGACCTTAAATAACTGAATTTTTCTATCCTACAATCTCATTGCCTATAAACTGAGGCTCATACCTTTAGGAGTTGTGATGATCGACTATTTACATGTAAGCCAGTACTTATGAATATTTGCTACCATTGCTAGTTTTTTTTTTCCTACTGAGATCTCTTCTTGACTGTTATTTCAAAATTTCAAAATGTGCAAAATTATGTGGACCCCAAAATAGTTATCTTTATTCAACTAACATTTTAAAAAGTAACATGAAGTAGATGAATATAGTATTTAAGTATATAGGTTCTACTAAGAACTCAAGTGAGGGGCTGGGAAGGTGGCTCAGTGGTAGAGCGCTTGCCTTGCACGCATGAGGCCCTGGGTTCGATTCCTCAGCACCACATAAGCAAAAAGAAAAAAGCCGGAAGTGGTGCTATGGCTCAAGTGGTAGAGCGCTAGCCTTGAGCTGAAGAGCTGAGGGAAAGCACCCAGGCCCAGAGTTCAGGCCCCACGACTGGACCAAAAAAAAAAAAAGAACTCAAGTAATAATCATTAGCTTGAATATTTCCCAAAAATGCAGAATAAACTCTCATTCAGTTACATGAAGAACTCTTGAACTCTTAATTCACAATAATTATGAAATGGAAGGAAGGGAAAAGAATAGAGATACTCTTAAAAAAAAAAACACATACACACATTAAACCATATCTAATAAACACAGAAGTTCAAAATGATTATTTTGTTTTTCCTACACATGAGGCTGGATCACTGGGAGTTGAGATCCTTAAGTTGAGACCTGTACCGCATATCAAGGGGATCTACTGCCAGCAGCAGCTTTCAACAGCACAGCTATCCCCTAGCTGGATAAACATTCACCACCCCAACCTTAGCTGGCACCTCGGAATCACCTGAGTTGGAAAGTTTTAAGCTTCTCATTTAGCCAAGATACTATCTATTTTCTAATGAATTAATGACATATCCTTCATCTATCCTGGACTTGAGGGATCTCTGGTTGAAAGAACTCTGCTCGCCTGGATCCCACAGGAAGTCCCCAATGAATTTCAGGGTATATATCAAGATGTTAATCTCCTCATATGGGCTACAAGTCTCACCCACCCTGTCACGGCCTTCCTTCATTAAGTACATCAGAATCTGAGAACTAACCTCTCTTCCACAATAGCCAGCTGTGTCTGAACCTATGACCATGTTCTACAGGGCCCATTCAGTATGAACAGGGAGGATGGAATAAAGGGACACTAGATCTGCTGGAGAATTTCTACCTTAAGTTTCTGGGGAAATGGTAAATTAGCTTAAGATATTTTATAGCTGCATACCTGCATCAGATCTTGTTTTTCTTTTTCTCCTGAGCTAATGGCCTTTCTGATGGATTTCAGTTCAGTAAGAATGGCTTTGGCTTCACTAAGTTCATATCCACTCTGGCCTCCAGACATTTTTTTATCAATTCTGTTAAAAGGAAAAACAAAGAAGAAAGTTAAAAAAAAAATTAAAGAATGATAGAGCACAATTAAATGAACAATAGAGATTAAATTTTTGGATTGTCTTAATTGACTGGTCAAATCATAACTCTATAATGGCATAATTTCAGGCTGATATTTCTCTTTTCTCTAGAAATCAAGTCCTGTTAAGATTTCTCCCATCTCCTGCCTGCTGTCTCATGTCTTTCTAACCATTTTGAGCTCAGATAAATCCATGGCTTTTGTGTTGTCTTGTTTGGATGATCCCATCTCGGGATGTGCCCAACACATTCATCACATGCTGATTCTGATGTCCACCTGAGAAAGGTAAAGGTCAGGGGGCAGACACTAGGACAAGGATAAAAATGCCAACAAAGAGCCAACTGACTTTATATACCATAACGCTTGTATGAAACTGAGCACACTGCTGGCGGCCTGGTAGGCCTTCATTCAGTACATAGTTAATAAGTTAATTAATTTTATTAGTAAAACCTCCTACATGTTTTTAAATGTTCTTAAAACATTTAGAATATGCAGTTTCTTATTTAGTTTTAAATATATAAGAAGTCATTTAAAGTTTATCCTAGAATAAATATTTTCTTGGCATTGCCCACAGAACCCTTCCAACCATCTTTCCTGTCTCCTGCCTTCTTAGAATCACTCTGCTTCCAATGTTGTTCTTCTTTATTGCCATGTTTCGCCTTTCTTTCCCACCACTTTTCATTCCCCACCTTTTGCTTTGTTTTTACCTAAGTGACTAAAAAGAAAATACAAGTACTCCTTGCTAGCTTTGTGATGGTGATGGGAGGTGGGAGGGAAGGCCTGCTCCGAAGGACTCCAGGCCCCTTGCACATGTCCTAGGCAAGCACTGTACCACTGAGCTTCATCCTCAGCCACCCTTGGCGGGTGTTTTAAAATCAAGCGCTGTGCTTTTATGTCCTTTGAGTGCCTTTTTGTTTTCTTAAAATACTTAGAAACATTTTCGCTTGGATGTACCCTAAAATTATTTTTACTTGCATCTCTTCTCAAAGAGATTTTCATGTATATGACTTCTTTGGAAATTCTCCCCTCCAGAGCTACATTTCCATAGGTCTGTAAGGCTTCTGGCTTACTGAGTGGCTCATTATCTCCCATTTTCCAACTCTTCTCAGTGCATATTGAAGGCAGCAAAATGGAAATGTACATCTTTTTGATATTTATCTACACAGAAGCTATGCTGCTGTTTAGGCCAAAGTCAACTTTGGGACCACAGAGTGAAATGAGTAATGCATGGAAGAACATAGTATTTGCATACCTAGAATAAAACTACTATACCAAGTAAAATGAAAGCTCAAGGTTAAATTACCTGATAATTCCAGTTCAATAAAAATATCCCACTTTATTGTAAATGAGTAAAGCTACAAAATCCTGCAGTGAGATCTTTTTTTTCCTGGGATGTATTTTGTATCCTAGTAACAAATAAAAGTCTCCTTGTCAGAAACGTGGTTTCTTTAGAAGCCTGGTCTCTGGGTTCAATCACTTATCATCAATATTTCAGTAGTATGGCAGTTAACAGTTGAGCGAGAACAGCTTTATTTTGTCTACAGTTAAAATCAACAGGACAGGTCTGCTGGTAAGTATCATATCTTTTTGCTTTTGGTTCAAAGGATTAGAATCAGTCCATGAGAATGACTGAATTTCTACAACAAATGTCTATTGTTTTCTTGTGGAATGTTATTGACAGATTCTTAAACATGCCTTAGATTCCTATAAAAATTGCTTGCAAGCAAACTGCTTTGAAACAATACAGCATTGTCACATCCACATCACAAAAGCAAGGAGTTTGGCTAACCTTTAAACCTGGGTGGCGACATGGGTTATAATTTCATGTGCCTTAAAAATGTTTAACATATGGTACAGTCAAACATTTTGTGGCACTCTATAAAGTTTGTTTTCTTTCCTCATCCCAACCTGGAAGTTCTGCTTTAAAATACTGATACACGATTACTAAACAACACACTTAGGTCATCTGAGGCCTGGGGTCTTTCAAGATGCTGCTCAGCAGCACTTTTTCTCAGAACTCGGCTATATTTTAAGACCCACCAGGATCTCATAAAATATGCCTGGCCTAGTGCGGACACCAGAAACAGGTATTTTTTGAAAGCTCCCTAGATCATCCTAATACTTGGCCAGGTTTGAGAAACAGTAGGATAGAAGCATCTGAAAGAATATTAGCACACTGATTTTTATGAAGTGAGTAGTCAAAAAAGAAACTGAGACATAAAAAGCAAACCTCTGAAGTGACAGTCATGTGCCTGACTGGTGGTCAATAGTGAGTAGTGAGTAGGCATCCCAAGATACAAGCCACCATACACACACACACACACACACACATACACACACACACACACACACACACACGGGAACAATCACATCCCAAGATACAAGCCACCATACACACATACACACACACACACACACACACACACACACACGCGCGTGCGCGCGCGCGCGCGCGCGCGCGCGAACAATCAGGATGTGTTTGGCCAGAGGCACACAATCTTTAATGGGGGAAATGCCTTACTGCCTTGGATTGTTCCAAGTTTCCTAAGAGAAGAAAGCAGAGTAGGATCTCACAGACAAAAGAGACAGGGCTGGATGCTTTCCACAGGGGTGGCTATTGGGAGCAGTCTGACATTCCTGAGGCACTAGTGAGGAAGATTCTGGGAGACCTGGTTGAGCATGAAACTCATGAGGAAAAACTCTAAAATATTGTACCACAAGTGGTAGGTAGCACCCAATCCAGTGCCATGCAGAGGGACATAGCGGCAGAGGGCAATCGTTGATCATCTTGGGGTCATGTAGCTATGAAAACCACAGCTCCTTTCTATGAGGCTACCAGGCTGAGAAATGGGGGATAGAAAGTCAGGCTTGCCCATTATAGTTTGGCTAGGGTGGGCCTCCTTAGTAGAAAGAACAGTGAGGTTCCTCAGGCTGGTCCAGAGTAGGCATACTATACTTTCCTTTAGTCTGGCTCAGCCTAAAGCTATTCCAATGGCCCATCAAACTTCAGAAGTAAAATGGAAAGTGAGAATCAATGGGAAATGTGGCAGGGCAAGCTCCTAACTTGTTTTTGCTCCTTTCAAAACAGTCAGGTTGGATTTGAGGTCTCTGGGATTGACAGGGAGACTGCACCTCTAGGAGAGCTCAGGGCAGCTGCAGGCTGAGAGAGGATTAAGTAATAGTGCAGTCCCAAGGCAGGATATGAAGAAGTGCTTCCTGGACCCACAAACTCAGCTACCCTACAGTTTTAGAGGAGGCTGGCTGGGGCTCAGGAGACAAAGTTTTTCACTTTGGTTTCTTTTGATCTCCAATGATTAATAAAAACTGACCTTTCAAAGTATATAGATATTTTTCCCAAGTTTTTTTTTTTTTGTTGTTGTTGTTGTTAGTTGACTGCTGGTTTAAAATACTTTTGGAACAGAGCTTTGGGCATTTTTGCTTTATGTTGCTTAGAGGTATCTTTTATTTAATCAGTACTTCTACTCCCTCTTTCTTAAGTTAGGGAGCTTTGAATTACTGTAAAGTCAATTTCAGTATTTTTAATTTTTTTAAAAATTTTTTTATTTTTAATTTTTTTTGTGGGGGGGGGGGGGTGGAGGTCTGGTTGTGGGGCCTGAACTCTGGGCCTGGGCACTGTCCCTCAGCTCTTCAGCTCAAGGCTAGCACTCTACCACTTGAGCCACAGTGCCACTTCCAGCTTTTTTTTTTTTCCTGCTTATGTGGTGCTGAGGAACCGAACCCAGGGCCTCATGCATGCAAGGCAAGCACTCTACCACTGAGCCACCTTCCCAGCCTCAAAGCTAATGCAACTAACCTCTTTTTTTTTTTTTGGTCAGTCGTGGCCTGAACTCTGGGTCTGGGCGCTGTCCCTCAGCTCTTCAGCTCAAGGCTAGTGCTCTACCAATTGAGCCACAGTGCCACTCCTGGGCTTTTTTTTTCTGCTTATGTGGTGCTGAGGAATCGAACCCAGGGCCTCATGAGGTGCTGAGGAATCGAACCCAGGGCCTCATGAATGCGAGGCAAGCACTCTACCACTGAGCCACCTTCCCAGCCCATCAGTATTTTTAATACTCACTGTTGCAATGTTTCAAACCCTTGTTCTTTATAGAGTAGTTCTTGCTTCATCTGGGAGAGTTCTCTCTTCAGCTTTTTAACCTTTTGGAAGAAATCAATACATATGTTAATACTTGCAAATGATTAGCAGTAATAAACTATATTATAAGATGATAAATTAGTAAGCTATTAAACACACAAAGCCAATATTTTAAGTAGCATTCATTTCACCAGTTTGGCCTTCACATAAACTCTATGGAAAGGTCTATTAATTATGCTTAAGTTATCAGTGATATACAAGATTACTGCTAACTTACTATCGTGGCTGTATTTAGCAGCATTCCGATGCAGTAGACATCATCATGGCCTTCATTTTGTGGAAACAGCCATTAAGGGACAAAAATCACAACTTTAAGCCATGGTATCATCAACTCTAACAGCTTGAACTTCTCTTTGCTTCACTCACTGTACCCCAGGACAAACTAGCTTGGCTGACAGTGACCTTAGTGTTCTTGTTTATGCTGTCCCCTCTGCCTAGGGCTTTGGCTTTTATGACTGACACCTTCCATGTCACTCAGTTCAAGTGTTACCTTTCCATTAGGACTTCTCTAATCACCTTCCCATGCCATTATACTGTTTCATTTACTTCAGGGTACTTTTCAAGAGCTGAAATCTTTTATGCACTTGATTATTATCTCTCTTCTCTGGGAAAGTAGGCTGCAACACACTCGCAGTACCAGGTGAACATTAAGCTATCAATAAATACTTCTTTTTCAACAGGCTTTTTCCCCCCACTGTCTAATATATTTTTTGGTAATGACAATTCTAAAATTTATAAAATTCTAAAAGTTAGAAAAAACGGCACATGCCTAGTTTAGTCACAACTACTAAAGGTTTTCACATGAGAACCGAAAATTTATTTCCACATATTAAGTTCACAGCTTCATAAAGAAATGCTGTTGTTCAGTACTTTAGGGGATTTTTGAATTTTTATTTCTTTATTCATTTTACTCATCCTACAAGTATTTATTGATTCTGCACTACATGTCAGGTCTTCCCAGATAGGAAGCAGTCCTCTTAAGGTAAAGTGAGTGCAAAAAGAGCAAGGGGAGGAAACAGCAATATCTGGAATTTGAAGAATCTGCTGTTGGATTCCACAAGGGAGGGGCAGCATGAAATGGACTGAAAATAAGCCAATTTGGAGATTTCTAAATCTTAGCTAGGAGCTTTAACGAAGAGAATCAAGGAGAAACTTGTGTTCTAACTTGAAGTGGTCACTGTGATGGCTCTGGTGGCAGAGTTATGGGACACAGGTTGTTGTGTGGGCAAGTGTTACAGAAGGCCAAGAAGGGTTAGAAATGTATGGGACTGGTGGTGGAGTCTAGCTTGGCAGAGAAGTGGATGAAAGTACTTTCTCAGATAATGGAACCCAATCTGGGGAGACTTCAAGAGCAAGTGGAAGCCAGGTGCTGGTGGCTCACACTTGTAATCCTAGCTACTCGGGAGGCTGAGATCTAAGATCTGAGGATTGCAACTTGAAGCTAGCTTAGGCAGAAGTCCGTGAGAGTCTTATCTCCAATTAAGTCCCCACAAGCCAGAAGTGCAGCTGTGGCTCAAGTGGTAGAGCTCTAGCCTTGAAAAAAGCTCAGGGATAGCACCCAGGTCCTGAGTTCAAGCCCCAGTGCTAGCACGAGCACACATGCACACACACAGTAGAATATGTAGATGTGATGATGTGCAGCCTGTAGTTAACAACTAGTAGTTAACAACCTTTCTTCTCTGGAGTCATGTGACATCACTATTAGCAGAGGATCACTGTTTCTACTCTCCCATTCTTCAAGCCACCCTCAAACGAAGGACATAGACTAGCAAAACAAAGCAACCAGAGGATGTAGCTTGGCATACCTAGGACAAGATAGACTCTACTAGAAAGCAATAGTGAAAAGTAATGTTCATGAGTAGCTTCTATGTATTACAAGCATTGTGTTCAATGTAAATACCCATTTTCAATCCTTACAATTACTCAACTAGACAGACAAAGATTTGTTTGTTTGTTTATTTATGTGTTGGTCCTGGAACTTGAGCTCAGGGCCTGGGCATTGACCCTGAGCTTCTTTTGCTCAAGGCTAGCACTTTACCGCGTGAGCCACAGCTTCACTTGCAGCTTTTCTTGGTAGTTTTTAGTGGCGATAACAGTCTTACAGATTTTCCTGCCTGGGCTGGCTTTGAACCATGGTCCTCAGATTTCAGCCTTCTGAGTAGCTAGGATTACAGGCCTGAGCCATAGGTGCCCAGCCAGACTCACATTTAATTCTTATATTCTAGACAAGGAATCAAGGAATAGAAGGTTATACTGCTATAAAGCAGCAGAGATTAGCCTAGAACTGAGGAGAATTTTTTAAAATGCAGTCACAAACTTAGATATTAGTGGTATAATACATGTGAAAGACAAAGCAGAACTGAGCAAAATGACTTAAATAAAACCCATGACCAGGTCGGTGGCTCACGCCTGTAATCCTAGCTACTCAAAAGGCTGAGAACTGAGGATCAGGATGGTGGTTCAAAGCCAGCCTGGGCAGGAAAGTCCGTGAAACTCTTATCTCCAATAAATCACCAGAAAACCGGAAGTGGCGCTGTAGCTCAAGTGGTAGAGCACTAGCCTTGAGCTGAAGAGCTGAGGGACAGCGCTCAGGCGCAGAGTTCAAGCCCCCCCCCCCCCGCCCCAAATAAATAAATAAAACCCATGACCCTGTATTCTACCTGCAGAGCTTCATTATTCCTATGTTCCGCCAGAACTAAGACATGGATAGAACCCCAAGCTGGACTTTATGTACTGATCTTTCTACAGCTGAAGTCACCATCTAATTTTATCGATATATGTCTATGCAATCAAATTTCACAACCCAGAGTACTAAATTGGAGGGAAGAAACCCTTGGCTTTTGCACATTCCCTGCTTTCTATACTACTAAGCTAAAGTAACTGACATTTTAAATTGATTTCAAAGTTATTTCTGAAAACTAGGAAAATGCTGTGATTAAATGTGGTAAGTATGACTGGAAATCACAGAGCTTCTCATCACCTTGTACAATCCTAGTGCAGTAATGTTTTATTTTAAAAGAAGAGGAAAAGATGATGACAGTGAAGAAAAGTGAATTCCAAAACCTGTAGACCTTAGAAGGATCATGAGACAGGCAGGTTTCATAAGTTTGCCCTTCAAGTGAACTCTGCAACATTAAAGCTATAATGAGCAAAATGGTATTTTATTAATGACTACCTTCCCTTTTCACCGTTCTCTCCTCTGTCCTGCAGGAAGTTCCTTATACAAGGCAATAAAGGGCAACTGTCAACCTGCTTATTCTGGCCCTCGCTGTCTCCTGACTACCACTCCTGTCCCCCTAAAATCCTTGTCACGCTGGCCTCTCTCTCAGACTACCTTTAGAGAAAGTGAGAGTCAACAAATTAATAATACAATACTGTTTGTTACCTTCTCTAAAGAACAGAGGAAAATAGCATCTATAGCATCTCAGATGATGCTAGAACCATTTGTAATGACTAACTAAATGGAAGCAAGGGGCTGAATAATTCTTACAACTTTTAATGAAAACAGAACCACCGAAGGTATGGTAAGGCTGAGAAAGATGGGGAAAGAATGATGGAAGCTGTAACACTGATCAAGATGCATTGTACTTATAAACTGACAGGTTGAACTGAAGCCCCTTTGCACAATTACTTAAGAGATAATATTTTTTTTAGTGAAACAAAGCCAATAAGAAAAATAAATGAGGGCTGGGAAGGTGGCTCAGTGGTAGAGCACTTGCCTTGCATGCCTGAGGCCCTGGGTTCAATTCCTCAACACCACATAAGCAAAAAGAAAAAAGCCGGAAGTGGCGCTGTGGCTCAAGTGGTAGAGCACTAACTAGCCTTGAGCTGAAGAGCTGAGGCCCAGGCACCCAGGGAGCTGGGCACCCAGGCCCAGAGTTCAGGCCCCACGACCGGACCCCCCCAAAAAAAATAATAATAATTTAAAAAAATGAAATTTATTGTCTTAAGGTATAAATAGTAGAGAATAAAGTGGAAGATCAATGCTAGATCTCTACAAATGAATAAAATTAGCCATGATCAGCAGTTTTGTACCTGCAAAATACCTAAAGAAATGAAAATGCATATCCACAAACACATGCACGTACTTCATGACAGTACTATTTATAACATCTAAAGAAAACAACCCAAATATCCACTCACTGATGGAAGGATACATGTATACTTGCATGTTGGAATATTATTTAACAGGACAAAGGGATGAGTCTTGATACCTGCTGCAACACAGGTGAGCCTTCCAAGCACTATGCTAAGTGAAAGAAGCCAGCCACACAAGACCTTGAAAGTAATATCCAGAACAGTAAATCTAGAGAGGTAGAAAATAGTAGTTGCAAATAGGAATGGGTAATGAAAAGAAATTGCTGATGGACACAGGGCTCGCTCTCCAAGAGGCAGACAGGTTCTAAAATTAAGATTGTGATAAATTTTTATACTATACTAAAATCTAGTAAACTGTATATTTAAAATGGGCAAACTGTATGGTTTATGCATTATTTCCCCACTTTGGTTCCTGGATCAAGGGCACATTTGACTTCACATTAAATAATGCCCCCTTTTCCCACTGTAGGACCTAACTCTGACTGAAATTACTGGTGATTAAACCAGCTAGATCAACTTCTTCACCATTTGCCTGCTCACATGTACAATGTTGACTTTTGCTTTTTGAGTTTACCAATATTTTGTTTAGTATTATTTACATCCATGTTTATATGGCTGGCTTATATTTTCTTTTATTGTACAAACTCATCAGAATTTAGTGTCAAAATTTAATTCCTCAGACTTTTCCCTTCATCTTGAGTCATTTTTGGTCAATAAAATTTGGACCTTTTAAAAACCTTATCTCACTGTTTAAATTTAATCTTCTAAATTGTCTTAAAATATTCTGGGTCCCCCCACCCCCCACTGCCAAGTCCTTGGGCTGAAACTCTGGGCCTGGGTGCCGTCCCTGAACAACTTTTGCTCAAGGTTCGCCACTTCCAGCTTTTTCTGTGATTATTGTAGG